GATACCCAGTTAAATCTGGATAAATATTTAACTCTACGTTTGTCGCCATCTTCTTAAATTATAAATTTTATATTTTTGTGGTTAATATATTTAGCTTGATAATTAATCCATCGTTTTCATTTTGTAAGAGCCCACCAGTTTCTGATCTCACGTAAAAAGTTAACTTGTTGATATTTCTTCGCTGTAATTTTCTGGGCGTTTCAAAGTTGCTACAGAAATATCGATTTGTTGAAATCACTTGCAATAAATCGAGTGACTGCCCGTTGTAAAAATTGTAATTGATGTCTAATTGATGACAATAGATGAACGCAAGTTTATCTGATTCCAATGTATATCCTTTTTCAAATAACACGTTTTTAACTGAGATTACTTTGAATTATCGATGACATTTTTTTATTTAAACATCTGAGGATTTTGACACAAATAAAAAGTGTAAGTTTCCATTTGTTATATTAAATGGGTTTAAAAATCGATTTTTAAAAATTTTTCAATGGTGTTTTCCTTGTGCTTATCTGAGACATGAAATAAGTCTTTAACGGTTGATTCAGCTCCCCCAGTTACATGTACGTCTTGGTGTGAGACGGCAATTAAGGCTCGTAGTGGTTTGCCTCTGGAGATCTTACCCTCTAAAATTCGGTTTAATTTGTATTCTATGATGCCCGTTTGATCACGTGTCAATTGAACATTTTAATTCTTTTAAAGTTTCACTTTTTTTTTTCTGGATATTTGACGAGTCAATGGGTCACTTGCGATGATCAAATAGGGAAGTATAGGGATCTATTTTAACGTACATTCGGTGCTTGTTTGTGTAAGGCTGTTTAACTACGTAATCCATTTTATTAAGGTCATCAATGTCGTGACTGGCTTTATAAGCGTTTATGGTATTAGATGGGAGATTAATTAAATTTTCAATGTAAAATTTAATATTCAATAATTAGCCCAATTTCGTATAAATCAGCGTCGAGTTTAGTCACTGAATCGGGCAGTGAATCGGTTTCTCGCATGTGCCTCAGCTTTTTATGCTTGCCGTTTACGAGCACCACGTGATCCATTCCTTCTAACTCGATACAATTTACGCAGCAGTTGCAAGCGGTGCAACTGAAACACTCTATACAATTGCTGCACTCGTACAAAATGGGTCAATGAACCCTCGCAAACGCTCGTTCGAAGGTTGGTCTATTTACGTGTGCACACGAGGGTTATCGAGCGAGTTCGAGCGAGTTCGAGTGAGTGCGGGGTATTGCGAGACCTCTCGAGCAGTTACGAGACCCTGGAAAACGCACGTAAACGGCCATAAGTCCTCGTACTTGCTCGCATTTTCATGGGTACTTCAATTTAATCATTAGTGTAACTGTCTTCGCAAGGCACTTGAATTTTGACAGTTGTATGAATTTAAACAATATACGCAATTTATACACCTGCCGTAGTCATCACAAGTGGAGCAATGATTACATCTGGCGCAGTCGTTACATTTATGGCAATTGTGGCACTCTTTACAATTTATGCATGTGCATAAATGGTAAGAATTTAAACAGTGTAGGCAATTGCATGAATCTATCAAATCGATTGAATTTCTTGTGTCTTTGCAAAAATAACAATTCACATTTGTTTTATGGTTTATCATGTTTTTTATATTTTTTTACTTCTATATTATGTCAATGGCGCATAAATCATTTGGAATAAATATTTCATTCGGCTTGTAAACTTGTTTACCGGTCTTTGTCTTTCTCACGAAACAAATGCAGTGCCTTTGGCTTTGCACGTCTGGCTTTTTCTGCGCGATTTAATCTCGTTGCGATTCGTAGCCATTGAGGATTAATTTAGCATATGCAAATTTAGTGACTAAAGTTTGAGTCATTTGATTTTATAAAATCATTTTTTGAATGGGAGGGGGGCTGGGCAATAATTTCGCCCAAAGTTAAAGTACATGTAAATGTGTTGCATATTCAGTGAAAACAAAATGCTACATTGAATTCTCTATTAATAAAAACAATACACTGCATTTAAAAATGAAAACTGCTCTTGTTATATTGGTCTTATTAGTTCACTATCCCAAATTTTATTTAAACATTTAACAAAGGTTTATTGTGTTACAGAATGTCTTTCAAAAGCTATGGAGTAAGGAAAGTTTGACTTAGTTTTCTTGTATAGCTTGAACTGTCAACCATTGAGCTCCCCTAAAAGCTGTCCTCTCAGGCTCAGGATCTGATGCTGTTACAGTGTATTCAAAGATGGCAGAAAGGAATCTTGTACTTTTGATGTTTCACCTCATCAATTATTCAAGTACCGGTATGGTATTACACCCATAGGGAAGTTTCTTAAAGTGGGTGCATTTTGAAAAGTAAACCCCTCTGCATCGCTCTATGGACTACTGTGACTCCATATTCCACCACTTTTAAGGGTACACACAGACTTCACAGCTCTTCTCTCTTTGGCAATTCTGTATTTCTAGACCCCTGGTCCAGGAGTGCCTGGTACTGTATTATTCCTGTATGCTGTGTTCAATTGGTTGGCTATAACATTTTACTGATGCAAGTGTTATCCATTCTTACACGTAGATGATAATGTCTGCAAAGATTTTAAAACAACCTGTGCCACACCACCCCCTCCCCCAAAGAATCATAAGTGATGGTTTATTTTATTTGCTGATGGATTCAAGCCAATTTCTTGAACTGCAGCAGTTCATCATAAGTAAGGATGACTCCAAAATTGTGCAAGCAAGTTAAGAAATGTTTTTGAGTATCAGCAGTATTCTGGAAATGGCCTATAGAGTAATCTGATAATTGATTAGAAATTCTTCATTCACAAGTACTGGCATGACCGGTGGTAGACACAGGTGCGTATTGGAAGTCTGATGCCTCATACATATACCAGTAGGTCCGATGCATCAAAAGTCAGAATTATCAGACTTACTGTATGAGGTGTCAGAATAATGAGGCGTTTGATTTATGGGCATTTTTTTTTTCAGCCTCATAGTTCTGACGCCTCATAAATTGGATGTCGGACCAACAAGGTGTCAGACTTAATACAAGGTGTCAGTGCGATTGACTGTGAAACATAGAGGTGTGCAGGCCCACGCAATGCATTGCCTGTGAGCGAGATTCAACTTTGTTCCCAACTCGTGCCTGTGGTACTGACCCTGTTAGGAAAACTTTATCAAGCAGACTACCTGCACAGTTCATACACTGGTCCAGTATTTTTTTAATGGGGCGTCGGACCTCTGAGTTGTCAGACTTATGGACTTTTTTGTAAGCTTACTAGACTTACTTAGAACTCTACCATGTCTTTGGGGTCAGCTAGTAACTTACTAGCTGACCCCGAAGACACGGTAGCGACCTCTAACCAGTTTGATGCAAGAGACAGTTTGGACAGAGGTGCAGGTAGTGCTCCATTTAAGAAAAAATTTTTTAACAGCTCAATTTTAATTATCTAATCTGACAGTACAAAAATATGTACATGAATGCACAAAAACCAGGGAAAAAATGTTACAGTTGCACATTGCAGTTGTTGAACGTTGCAGTAGCTGTGCACTAAATCTATAGACAGGAAAATAATAAATGTATTTAACAAAATTGGGTTTTGTTTCAATCCTTGATTCATGTCTTTTGGCACTTCTGTAACTAAAATATAGGATATGCTATAATGATGAAAAACTAGAGGCACGATACAACATTATTTTCTGTACTTTATAATGAATCAAAGTACAACCATCACACTTACCTCTCCCAAAAAGCAACAAGACCTGCAGACCCAGCCACCCATGACACATGCACTCTAGGTAACAAAGTGTTCAAAGTAAGGCCAAAATACACTTTTAAGTTCCACTTATTAAAATCACCAAACAAATTCATGCACATTCAGCATTTTCAGCACTTTCAATAACATTAGTGTAAGCTGTAATGTTTTAGTTTAAACTTATTATCCGAGTACTTGGCCATAAGGAGGCCTGGTAAAACTGGCATCAATTCAACTTTGATTGTAAAATAAGGCACCTAAATATTTACAATTACAAACCCGTTAATGATCTGCTGGTTATCAAATCACTGGCACAATGGCAGAATATGCCGCTACCCACCTCTTCCACATCATAGCCGGCTACATGTCGTGCTTGACTGCTCACACACAAAATATGCACAGGGCTTCACCAAATGACCTACATGTAATCATATCGTGCCTTTGTTAGAACTGCCCATGTTCAAAATGACCATTTTTGAATGGGCGGCTGAACTCGTCAAACGGCTGATTAGACTTTCTCCTGTATTCATGGTTTGGGAGGAAGTTTTTTTTTAGAAGGGAAATACAATTCTATCATCAGGCTTTCTCCATGTCAATTTACTATCACAAACCTGCTTAGGACATGTGGTGAACATCAAGTCACTTGTGTCACATTTGGGTCACTATATTTACTGTAAAAATTTCAACACCATCAGCAAAGACATGATTCTCAGCATGCACATTACATTGTTTACACGTGTGTGTGCGTTGATTCACAGAACTCACTTAAGATGAGATACATATACCGGTAGCATATACTGTTCCAGATGGCAGCAGACCCAGTTCGGTCATTCTTTCAAAATAACAAATTTTAAAAATGTTTTCTTCACACAAACAATTTTGTCAGACTTTTTCAACAGTAATATAAATTAATGACATTTCATTTTTATTTGTGTACATGTAACTTATTCTGTTTTATTTAATAATATTTAATAAAGTTTTAATTTTGCAATATAAATGTTTTAAAGAGGGCCACCAACAAAAAGTTTCACATCATTTGGATTTTTTTATCAAAATGTTGAAGAACTTCTCACTTATATTTCAAAATGCCCAAAAGTCAGTAAAGGTCATCATGTAGATTCTGGTTGTCTATGGTATACTGGATTAAAATCCGTCTTAACATATTACACTCATATACATGTACTGCCAAAACAAGGTTCCAGTAAAAGTGACATTAAACTGCTGGAGTAATGCATTTGTTGTTTGCTTCACTTTTCTACTGATAGTTTTTCAAATTTGCTGTCTGTGATGCCAGGTCCCTCAGCTGAGTTCATCATGCCAGAGAATGCAGATAACATTGGTGAAGAAACTCAACCTGCAGCTCATGTTGAGAGAAGTGAAGTGCAGGCATGCATTATTAACAGAACTTTGGTAAGCTTTTGAAAGTTGTGTCATATCTGATGTTCAGTAGTTTGATTCACAGGTCACCTGTAGCTTCCCAGCAGGCATTTTCACACTAATCTAGGGTTGACGCAGTTTTGACACAAGTTTGGAAAAATGGCTTTAGACACAAAACTGTTTAACCCTGCAAAAATCCTGCACCAATTCTGCCATCATCCCTGCACCAATTCTGCATCGAGCCCAGCCAAAGACTGATCTTATCTAAGATTGAAATCAACCCATGTCCAGACCAGGGTCAAGATTTTTCAACGGGTTGAAATTTGTCCAGATTCTAAAATGTTGTGTGAAAAAAGCAGGGTCGAGTTCGCCTCAGGTTGAGCACAATAACAACAACTGTGCTTCACTGTTTCATGTGCATAATTGTGCAGTAAACCAAATGCAGTGAAGAGGACTGCACAAAAGACCCTGGGTCATTTTGTGCTGACAACCAAATGTGTACACACTGAACCTGTGCATATTTGTTTTCCATGTAGAAAACACTTGCAAGAGAGTGACTGTGGGCACTTCTGCATGTTTGTGCTGTAAAACCAAAGGAGGGTTAAGGTGAAAAGGCTTGGCAAGGTGTAGGGAGTACTGAGGCCTAAGCTTACATGTATGCAACCTGAAATAGGATGCAGTGTTCGAGTGTAATGTTTTGCATATGCACTTGAATGCTTTCCTTGAATATTAATCGAGAGGTTGCAGATACTGTGAGGTGCAGGAAACTTCACACCAAAGGTTACAGCTTGCAACGTGCCATTTCAAAATTACTAGTAATAATAATGAATTTAAAAATGGAGACTCCACATTGTCCTGACAGGATGTAAAAGTACCAAAATCTTCAAAGGGCTTTTAAAAAAAACCCTCTTTAATAGTTGGGCATTACATGCAGCCAAGGGAATAGGGAGGATTCCAATATGGGTCAGCTCTTCCCTTTAAATTACAAATGCGTCTTAACTTATGAATAGCACCTGTACATCTTACAACTTTAGGCTTTTTTGTAAGGGTCATTCTTACCGGAATGTATGTGTGCATTACAATCTCACACCTCTGCTTATGCATGTCAATAAGAAAAGTTAATTTTGTGGCCTGCTTACACATGTACCTGTCTTCCAGGAGAAATAGAGAGTTTGCAATCTTTGACCTATTTTTCACAAACATTGATATCAAAATTACGAAAACACATCAGTGGGAAAACTGGACAAAACAGAAATGTACATGTATGTCCCTGTATTTAACGTCTATATTTCAGCATATGTGTTGTCCCTGTAACCTGCAGTAACAAGTACATGTACATGTGTGTATGGGTGGTGGTTCTGTGGGCAGGCCATCACAGCATTTAGGGGGGGGTAGTTTCTTCGGTTAGGAAAACTATGACAGAGTTGAGGGGAAATTCCTGTGCTGTTGCCTGTAAGTTTTCAGTCCTAACAAAATTGGTGTAATGATCAGGGTACATGTTTTACATACACAGCGTGGACATTCCTTTGTTCTCCTGTGGTTAAGGAAACTTGGGGAAAATGTTCCCTTTTCTCCAATTAGAATAACTGTCAAGCTGGATTTTTGAAGATTCTCTGGACTGTTCCTTTTCATTTTGCCACAGATAAGCTTGACCCCAAAATGCCTCTGAAACTGTTTTTCAGAGAGGGGAAAACATTGTGTGGACATGTGCGAGTCCACAGAGTGCCGTCGCGCCCACATTATGTGGACTTCTTTTGTGCAGAGGTCCATACAGTGTATGTATGCCATGCCCTAAAAAACGTTCCTACTCATGTGTGTGAGTTTGTTTCTGTATTCATTTGGGGACCCTGAGCAACAGAAGACGATAAGGTCCCTGATTGACAGCGGTTCCCCGATTGACAACTGTACAAACAAACGAGGAACAATAGGGGGTCCCCAGCTGCTAGCAAATACACACTTGGGTTTGTGAGTGTGCGTGCATGCAGTCAAGGGCAGATTCAGTACTGACATTTCTTGGTTTCATTTTAAAAATGTAAATTTGTAAATGTCACATTTGATAGTAATGAGGATTCCATCATGAATGGGAAACTTGAGTAATCTAACTTGCCGTTGATGTGCTTGATTGAAGACTTTGAGACAAGTGAGTGTGTATTGTACGTGTCATGCATTATTGTATTTTTCTCTAATAGATTGGCTTCTTCTTACTTGGACTGTGCACGCAATTGCCCTACGCTATAATGAATACTGCAGCAAATACAATAGTTGGAAGGTAAAGTGGTGATTGTATTTTGGTTCAATATCAGCTCAGCTAACATGCATCACAAAGAAGAAGAATTTTTTTGAAATTCTGCCAATACGGTACATGGATTTATACATTACATACCAGTACTACATCACTACTTTATGAATATACTGCACCTAATGGTCTTTTTGAAAATTAATTTTCAGTAAAGTGTATGGTACTAAATTTTCGGCATATTGGTGAGTGTGCTCCTTCATAATCTAAGGTTTATACGTGTACATCCATCCTGTACCTTATGTGAGGTTCACAACACATGACAAGACCTTTTTTATGCTGGTCAAAGGGGCATACTCTTTCCACCTTGACCTTCTTTGGGTATGTCTCTGGAAGAATCTTGTCAGTGCAATAATTTGAGAACTACATGACATGCTCTTGGTCCTAAGAAGCCTGTTGCATTTGGAGGTCAGAATGTGATGGGTTAAGGTCAAAATGGCTTCACCACTCGCTGCCGGTGGCAGTTATTAATGTTGCTGATACTGGGGCGGGATAATTCTCATTTTTTTGTTTTCAAAATTCTTTAAAAATTCCTATCTTCATTTACTGGACACTTACACCCACAAGAAGGACCGTCTGGTGGCCACTCTAGCCTGACAGACAAAATCTATTGACGCCCGAGTATTTCAGCCAGGCCTGCAGTCTTGTAAAAAGAGCCTAGATTGGGTGGTGTTATATAACTTTCTTTCGCTCACGAACCTGGAACAGTGCGTTGGCCAGATTAGCATGCAGCGGTGCCATGTGGCCCATTGCTGCAGTGGTGGAGCCCTTTTGTCCCTGGAGGTAATCTGCTAGCTCTAAATGCCCCAAACTGTGGTATACTGTTTCAAAACAAGGCAGGATTATCTCCACTATTGAGAGTGAAAAATGTCAGTAATGCCCAGCATCCTGGTCTTTTGTTCCGAGTATGTTTTTTCGTTACTGGGGCCCAGTTCACTTTGTCCGATTTCGGAGACACCAGCCACGCATAAAAAGCATACTGTATGTGTCCGGTACCAGAATCCCAGGCAGGAAGTGGTTAAAACAATAGAAATCTTCTTTTTGGTTATCACAAATAAATATTTTGTGTTTAAGGCTTTGGCCTGATGGAGTGTACAGGTGTTTAACCACTTGCTGCCAGGTGGTTTGAAAAATGCAGTGAACACATACAGGCAATTTTCAAGATTTTCAGTTTTCAAAATTCTTAAAAAAGTCATCATTTCATTCAATGGATGTTTACACCCACACAAATTCCTGTCTGGTAGCCACTTTAGCCTGACAGACAAAATCTATTGATGCCTGAGTATTTCAGGCAGGCCTACAGCCTTGCAAGAAGAGCCAGATTGTGCAGTGTTTTATAACTTTCTTTTGTTCGCAAACCTGGCACTTTGCGCTGCTGACCTCTTTTCAATCGGGGCCATATTAGCGTGCAGTGGTGCTACATGTATGTTGCTCATCGCTGCGTTGATGGAGCGCTTTTGTCCCCGGTGGTAATCTGCTCACTCTAAATGCCCCAAACCGTGGTATACTGTTTCAAAACAAGGCTGGATTACTTCAGTCTTTGTTCCAAGCACCATCTTTTGTAACAAGGCCCAACTCTTTTTTCTAGTTTTGGGCTCTCCTGCTTCACATATAAAGCCTATGTGCTCGAAAACGGGTCCCCCGGCAGCAAGAGGTTAATACATTATTTTTGTTTGGCTTAATGACGTGTATGAGCTTGTCTATATTTTCATCACTATCACCCTGAATGTGCATTGCTAAAATGCTAATTATGGATATACATGTATGTGCATTGCATGTCAAAAATAATAACACAGCACACTTTTAAAACGGCCCATTGTTTTATTATTTAGCAGCATTTGCAAAAACATTTTTCACATGCATTTTTAGAGCAGCTCTCCCTGCTTTGATGCCAGTTACACTGCATTCGGTTTTCAGAAGACTGTGGATTTAAGTGAAATCTAACTTGTACAAGTAAGTGCACTGGGCGGCAAAGAGACATTACAAAATCTCATCTTCAAAACTTCATTTTTATTTACATGTAAAGCATTTCGGTAAGTTTATGTTATACATGTAGATGTACATGTATTTCATAGTGACTTAGTCCTCTAAATGGCTACCATTGAATACAAAGCCGGGCTTGACGCATTATTCCTGTAAATAGTATGATAAATTATTTACCTATTTTTCCTGATGATCTAAACAGAAACTTATAGTATGGGTTGGAAACAAGAATCTCTGCCCATCATTTTGCTTCTACCGAAACATTGATGGGCACTTTGACATGACAAATAAGATTTTCTTGGTTCTTAATGGAGGCCATTCATGATCTAGGGGTTAAGCAAATGAACAGTTCAGGCATCTGTGGTGGGCGCAGGATGGTGCTCCTCCACACAGGATGGTTGTCACTTTACTTCTCGGATAGTGATTTCGAATTTATCAAATCATTGCCTTGAATTCTCTGATTGATTGGCCCCCAATATTGCCTGATCTGACTTCTATGGATTTTATCTTATTGGGCTATTTAAAAAGTTTGATTTCACATCTCCAGTAAATCTGAATGACCCTCAGGAGGGAAAAATCTGTGAATTGGCAAAACAGGCCTGTGATTCACTATGCACTTACATGGATGATGCACCCATCCCAGCTGTGTATTCAACCAAGTAGTAGCTTGTGGAGGACTACATGCACATGTAATTTTGTCTCATTTCTATCAAACCCTGTGCATTTGCATTAGTCAGATTTCACCTACACGCATTAAGGTTTTTCTGTGGAATCATGCTTGAATTACATGTGGTGTAAATGGCACCAAAAGAAGTGGGAAGAATTCCTCTGAAAGTACACATGAAAAAATAATTCCAAAAATGAGTAAGTTTTAAAATAACACCTTATTTTACATGTACATGTACTTCTGGGAGGCCAATGGAATCCATTCACGCCAGATAATGGATTGTTGTCCATTCAGTTTTTACACACTTGTATACATGTACATGTATGTACAGCCACATTTACATAGAAGAACTCATCTTTAACCACTTCAGGCTGGGGGCATTTATAAATGTTGATTTTGCGGGGCTGGAGTATTTGGCTTTTTTCATTTTTTTCTGTTTTCAAAATTCTTTAAGAATTCATATTTTCATTTACTGGGAACTTACACCGACACAAATGACTGTTTGGTTTCTACTCTAATCTGACAGACAACATCAACCGGTAGTTACACCGCAGTATTTCAGCCAGACCCGCTGCCTTGTAAAAGAGCCCAGAGTGTGTGGTGTTACTTAATTTTCTTTTGTTCCCGAAACTGGCTCAGTGATGTCTTTTCAATAGGGGTCAGATTAGCGTGCAGCAGGACAATGTGACTCATCTATGCGGTGGTGGAGCACTTTTGTCCACAGTGGTAATCCGCTTGCACTGAATACCACAAATGGTGGTTTACTGTTTCAAAAAAGATGCTGGATTATCTGTGCTATTGATAGTGAGAAAATGTTGGTAATTCCCAGCAGCCAGGTCTTTTACGATAGAGGGTTTGCAGATACACCATATGGAAATATCTCTTTGAGCAGAGTTTGCCCTTAACTTTTTTTTTCACTTGCCAGCTGGACCAGCAGTGATGGCTTTTAACTAGTCCACCAGCATTTTCACTAGTCCGCGTCTCCCCCCAAATTTCAACATTCTTGTTTGCATTAGTGTTTTCTGCTCCAACGTCATGCATAACAGTGTGCACTTGGTGCTGACTGTTGTTTAATTGTTGATGAGTAATCATAAATGGCCACGGGAATTATGAATTTCCAGAGTATAATCTACTCAAGCAAATTAACACACAAAGTGGTTACCTGCTAAAAATAGTTTGTTTTATTCACAATCCAAGAGACAGAATAAAAAATATCATTATGAACTGTTTATGTACATGTACGTTTATGCAGTATCACATGTACATGCACATGCACGCCCGGCAAAATGTACATACAGTACATGTTCGTTCTAGACTGACGGTACAGTACCCGTGGGGTGCATTCTACCAAATGGTTGTATTTCTGCTTGTAAGCTCATTAACATTCTGTGATCCCACAGGGTGTTTACAATAAGACATGCCATTATCAGGAGGTATCATAAAAATATTTTTATAAATCCCAAATTTGGGACTGATTTGGCACTTTCAAAAGTGGCAGAGGCTACATTCAGAGCTGAGCACATAGTTTTACTACTGTTTTGGAGGTCTCTTCGGAGAAAGGCCAATAAAAAAAATTTGTGGCTAACCCCCATAAAATTGTAACAAAAAGTGATCTTCTGGCCACAATCTTGAATTTCCAGTGTAAAAAAAGAGGTTAACCTCTTCCCAAGAGTCAATAGGTAGTGCTATTTCGGTCTGATTTTGCAATGTTTTCTATGGGCGCGTACATGTACATGTATTTGGTGTAGTGCAACTTGTAGTGCACAAACCAAACACGAAATCACAACCGTGACATCGCTGGAGTCACAACTACCTGTGACCAATTTTATTTGGTTCAAATTCCAACAGCAGCTATACGGTGTGCATCACCATCAACTATTTTGCCGCTTATTTCAGAATATTGTTTTACGAGACCGCTGGACTACCCAGACAAGAGCTTTCGCTCAACCGCTGTGGTTTTTATTCGAATTTGGCTAACGGACCAGCGTTAAGGTCGAACGCTGCTTTGAGTACATGTATGTGTGGTTCTGAAAAGAACCGGTTTAAAACTCGACTTTTCGGACAGTGAGTGCTCTGTCCGTCTTCAGGACTGATGCTATCCAACTGTGCTGCTGCTTATATGCTGGGGGTGCTCACTGAGGTGTGGGAATTGGGATCCAAGCCATTTGGGTACTGGAGCTTGAAGGCGGGAAAAGTGTTGAGAGCTGCTGTGGCTGTTCACTGGTGCATGTCAGTTGGTGTTGGGCTGGAGACTTCGCTCTACGGAGAGCAGATCTTGTCAACGGTCAAGAATTACAAGCGCCTTTCCACCAAGTGTTCGAGATTCATCAACAACTTAACCTTCCTCAAGTGCTGCCATGACTCCAACCTTGTGCCACCGAGCCTCCATCTTCATGACCCTGTGCGCAACACCAAGTCCCAAGACATCCTCAGGAAATCCAGCTTCATCTTGCTCCATCTCTCATCTCCTCCACCAGATCCACGCTGGCCTCACTAGACAAACAGATCGCTGCCATTCACAGTGAGCTAGCCACCACAATGTCTGCTGAAGACTTCAACAAGTTCCAGTGACTAACCAAGACCAGCTGTCGTCACACCTTCAAAAGAATCTGCTGCCACCAAACCAAGAAGTTCAGGAACCTCTAACGAAACAATGCGGTGGGGAATTGGACAAGGGGATCATCTATATACCCATGTCCCGCACCCCACAATCTCAGCACAAGACCAGAGCCGATAGGATTTTGTATATCATCAGACCCTACGCACACCAAACCCCATCTCCGTTCACAAGCCGCTTTCACAAAACAAGCAGGAGTCAACCTCAGTCAACGCACATGTACATCGTAAGCTGTCGGAAACTGAAACCAAGGTTCTCGCATTGGGCAAAAACTTTGCCCAGGTACCCAAGTCCCTGCCAGCAGAAGAAGTGATCCAAGTTACTGAACTAGCCTTACGACACCTCGCCAAATCCATCGTTGATGATGTCCGTCTACAAGTAAGCCAAGCACTCATGAACCTGAAACCTGCCAAGGCCAACATTTCTAGACAAGAGCACTCGGCCCTCATCGAGCTTTGTTGGGATGAGTCAATACACATCCTAACTGCCATCAAAGGCAATGCCACTGTCATCATTGACTGGTCCAACTACAACAGCAAGGTGTGGAACATCCTTGAATCGGGCTCATATCGCCCCCTCCCCAAGGATCCCACACCATCCATACAAAAGAGTTTGAACAGCAAGCTTCTCCCTGTGCAGCAGTCAGGAAACATTTCCATGGCCCTGCACCGTCAACTCCTTGCTTCCAGCTCCAGATGCTCTCGCTTCTTCGGTCAGCCCCAAATCCACAAACCTGACACCCCCCTGCGTCCCGTTGTGGCATGATGGCATGGTCCTACGTACAACATCGCCAAGCACCTAGCCAAGATTCTGCTCCCACTGCTAATCAACACGGAGCACTACATCAAGAATTCAGAGCAGTTCGTAAAGTTTATTCAAGACCTCGCCCTGCAACCCAACGACATCATGGTCAGTTTTGGCGTGGTGTCACTCTTCACCAACATCCCCGCTGCTGACGCCTGCATCATCGCCAGAGAATGCCTAAACCAAGACCCGTCTCTCCTAGAGAGAACAAACCTCACCCTAGCCCAGATCCAAGACTTACTTGGCACCTTCCTGGCATCCACCGGCCTCCAGTGGTGAGACAAGTTCTTTGAACAAACCAGCGGAATCTCCATGGGATCACCTATATACCTGGTTCTTGCTGACCTTTTCATGGAACATGCCATCGCCACAGCTGATTCCCGTCCATGAGTCTGGCTGAGGTACGTCGACGACACATTTGTCATCTGGCCGCACGGCCAGGAAAAGCTGGATGGTTTCCTCAAGCATCTCAACCAGCTCTGCTCTAAGATCCAGTTCACTATTGATCTGGAAAGAGATGGCGCCATCTCCTTCCTGGATGTAGAGCTATCCTGATGACCTGATGGCACCCTCTCCCTCAATGTTTACCGGAAACCCACCCACACAGACCGGTACCTCCATCAGTGCTCCTTTCACCACCCCAAGATCAAGAACTCTGTCAAAAAACACTACCCTTGTACGCCGGGCATACAATGTTTGTGACCAGCGCAACCTGAACAACGAGCTCCACCACATCTCCACAGCACTCCAGCGGGACGGATTCAAGAAGAGCCAAGTCAAGACCCAGCAACCTACACCTCGCCCCAACCATTGGGTCCCATTTACCCTAGGTAAACCCCCCACATACAATAGTTCAGTCACCCTCCCATACATAGGTCCAACTTCCCACCAAATCCAGTGCATCCTCAAGAGACAGGGCATCAGAGTGTTCCACACGGCATCCAGCAAGATCAGAAACCTCCTGCAACCACACAAGGATAAACAAGACCTCAAGTCTAGACCCGGCGTCTGCAAGATTTCCTGTGAATGCAGTCAAGTGTACATCGGAGAGACAGGCAGGGATCTAACCACTAGACTCAACGAACACTGAGCACATGGACAACAGGGAGACTACGAGAAGTCATCTATTGTCAAACATTCACATGAGGCAGACCATAATATCAAGTATGAAGCGCATCTCATCACCAGCATCGAGCAATGGCACCCCTGACGTATCTGCAAGGCCATTGAAATCTTCAAGAACAAGACGGTCCCCCAAGATATCGCCTACAACATCAGTGATATTTGGCACCCCTAACCTTCAGTGCCACATGGGATACTCCATGTATCCTAGTAACGAAAGACTGCACTCGTAACAAAAGACCTGCTTGGAATTACCAAAATTTTTTCTCTGTCAGTTGCGGAGATAATCCAGCCTTGTTTTGAAACAGTATACCATGGTTAGGGGCATTCAGTGGATTACCACCGGGGACAAAAGCGCTCCACTACTGCAGTGAGGAGCCACACACTACCGCTGCACACTAATCTGGCCCCTATTGAAAAGACATCAGCAGCGCACTGTGCTAGTTTTGGGAACAAAAGAAAATTACATAACATCGCACAATCTGGACTCTTTTTACAAGGCAGCAGGCCTGGCTGAAATACTCCAGCGTCAACAGATGTTGTCTGTCAGAATAGAGCAGAACCAGACAGTCCTTCATGCGAGTGTAAGTGTCCAGTAAATGAAGATATGAATTTTAAAGAATTTTGAAAACAAAAAAATGATGATCATCCCGTCCCAGGATCTTCAACCTTTCAGTCAATATTCAGTCAAAAAAGTCAAAATGAGTGTTAAACTCACATATTTTTAACAATTTTCTTCAATGATTTTCTTCAACAATATTCTTCTACTGTTTTACTTCCTTTTTTCCAACACCCCTCCAGTCATTTTTTGGTGTGTTCCTGTTTTGAGTAGTTTTAGACAATTGATTTTATGCATGCATAAGGTATGTATTATATGAGGTGGCACTGAACATGATCCAGTGGTGAGGGACATGAAATCAGCCTCCATTCTCCCATTGGGATTTTAAGTAACATTTAAGACTGGCCAAACACTCACTGCTATTCCTAAATACCTTATGAGTCAGAAAGTCAAAAAAAGATTAAGAATTCATAGGTTTCCAATGATTCACCAATTTTCACTTCAATTTTTTAAAACACCCCTCTGGTCACGTTTCCTGTAAGTGCCTCTGCAAGCTGGTACTTTGTCACTCTCTAAACTAGCTACATGATGGGTTCTCAACCAATAGAAATAGCCAAGGTGTGTTTAAGTGTAATGAATTTGCTGATGTTTTTAGTTAGTTAGATGCCAGCATGTCTGCCACTTGGGAATGTAAAATACTAAGCAATTTTAAAATCTTTCTTCACAGCTTCAATGAAAGTAGTTTTGTGGCAACTGTGTATGGAGCTGGAAATGGGGCCACGGTAGTAGTCAAAAGTAAGTTCTAATCCAAAGCTATACATAAAGAGAACTGTACAGTGCATTCTGCCTGTAATTACTTTTTTCATTTTCCAATCATGTACATGTAGATGTTTAAATTGCTTACACTTCCATTCATTTCAAATCAACTTGAAACTTTGCAGAAATACATTTATGAACCATTGGCATCATTTGACATCAAGTTCAAGTTACATGTACATGTAATTTCTTCTAAACAAACATCTGCTAAATCAGAAAATAGGTCAGACTAAAAGAATGTGTAAAATATTGTTGTACATTAAAAATATTATATGTTTGAATTCTGGAGATGACTCATAGACTAATCCAAGAAGTTGCAATTACTACAGTGGCACCACACTCATTCACATGTTACATATATCCATTGTTTTTCGTGAGCCCTGCCAACAGATAAAAAACTGTAAAACCTTTCTGATGAGCGAGGCATTGATGACCTGCATGGAAGCATCAATGATGGCTTCTTATCCTGGTCATCAGATTTGTCTGTTCTACGGTTTAGCTTCAGAGCTACCAGTTACATGTATTTTTATGTATTTAATATGTATACAAATTGAAAAATGTTAAGGATACAATGTATCTAATTGTCAAAGGCCAATACTTGTTGTTGATTTTTATTCTTATAGTTTTAAAAGTACAGTACATGTTAAAAAGGGTAAGCCCATTGTTTACTTCTTTTGGTATAAGTTACACTTTATTTAAATGAACGAAATTTCCACCTGTCATATAACAACAATTAATGTTTGCTTTCAAAGGTGCATTAACTCAGGTTTGATAAGACTGACAGTCAGTGAACAACATGTATTGTATAACAAGTTTGTACAGTTGGGGAAACTGGCTGGATTTGAAATTTTGAACGTTATAACCTCAAATTCAGTCGAACTTGAATACGTTGAAGCACGTAGGAGCATGTAGATATTTATTTGTAGATATTTATCCATATATATGTATATATGAAAACCATTCTTTGGAAGATCTCCCTGGAAATGACAAATTAGGAAAGGAAATCCTTAATGACAAACTACTCACATTTTGCAGCGCAGTAAAGTTGTCAAGAATTTAAAGATGAACTCTTTTAATACTTGCAGACAGAATATTTTTGGCTGAGAACATGGTGGTTACATGTATGTTGAAGGTCAACACATTATGCCACCCACAAATTTTGCAGATTTGTATGTGTACAAAACCAACGAAGTAATAGATGAGTGTATACAGTACTGGTACATCCATTGACAGAGAATGCCCCACAGTTTCCTCTGCAAATAAAGATTACAAGTCTAGTAAGTTTACAAATCCACCAATATACATGTACCATACATTGTTTAAGATTTATATTCAGCTTTGCAAAGGAGTTCCCTGTGAGGAATAAATGAAAGGAAAAATTGCATTCGGATGTCATTAAAAATAACCTCAAAATATTGTGTGCTGTCTTCCATAATCACTCATGGTCAAAGAATTGCATCAAGGAAAATCATTTGACAAAAATCTTTGTAATACCATGGTCCATAGATACCTGTAGACAATTTTTATTAGTTGGGATTTGATCATGTGATATGCCACAAGCACGCAGTACATTGACAATGTTGCCATGCTACAAGAAATGATGGATGATTGTGATCTTTGCCGGCAGTTGGTGTGTCATGTCCACTGCATTGTAATTGCATAACAGTAACGAGTAACATGTGATTGCCGTTGTTTATATGCTTATGTTGTCTCTTCTCATCTGCTCTTCAAACTTGCCAATATTTTTCTCCAGAATGTTGTGTAAATATTGTCTGAAATTCAACCAGTTAACAAATACCTTGGTGTTTTATGAATCCCAAGTTTCTCTGTAAACCAGTTTGTTATCAATCTGAGATTTCTCCCTCTTTCCAAAAGCAACAACAAAACACAACTAAACAAGGGACAGCACAATCAATCTTAACCCCTTGACGGCAGGATATTTTACCGCGTCCTGCCTGGCTGCTGGTATTTTTTTCCAATTTTGCTAATGGCAACGGCAGACATGTAGCAAGGTCACCAGGCCTTATCTGCCAAGTTTGCTGGGTCACACACTGCATGCAGCCCGGCTCTGTTTGGCCACGATTCATGCTGGGGTATTTGGATCCCATCTAACATAATAACCAGGCACCCAGAACTTACCATACCCAACACTAACTACCCAATGACGCTCGGCCACAACGAAGCATGCAGCGCCCGCTAAGTTCACAAGGTCTAGGCTTGCCACAGGCGGGCACCGTGGCTCGTGTTCCAGCTCCCTTGTAGTCCATGCATGCCCAGCATCAATGCCCAGCCCCCACTTGTACATAGAGTGGGCTGCACAAGTTTTTATTTCATCAAATACCCAGTCAATATTACTCGTAAAATATGCCAATTTTTCATCTTGCGCTATGTACGCACATAATTTTCTTGCATATTTCTAAGTTTTGTTTTTTTGCAAGTTACAGTGTATATTCAAACCCCCTTTCTGAATGTAATGATACACCTAACACAGCCCCTTCTAACTAAACTTGGAACCATCCCATGAAAATTATCTTCCCCAATTAATCTTTCCCATAATTATAAAATAAATAGACACAAGAGAAACACAAGACAATTTCTCAGTTTACTTCTTCTTTTGACGACTTGTTGTTTTGGGTTTTTTTTGCCTCTTTTCTCATATACATGTATTTACAATAATTCAAACTGAATTTTTGAAATAAAATGACTTTCTCGTAAAAAAACAGGCAAAAAAGGAAAAGAAAAAATAGAGTAGTTGCGTTACACGATGTCTTGGAATACAGGTAATTGTACATGAATAATTGATTCAAGTATAATAAACCTTGAAGGAGTTGCCCAAAAATTTCATGTACTATTTCATTTACAACATCTGGGAAACAGGAAACATGGCATAAATAAGCAAATGATTCAAGTGTGATAAACCTTGAAAGAAGGAGGAGGGCAAAGTGCTACTTCACACTTAAATCTAGTCTCTTTTCTTTTACCGTCTCTGTAACAAACATCACATCGTCTGTATGATCTAGCTCATGTTCCACTCAGGGGAATTTCTACAGCAAAATGTCCTCCTATCAGTCTACTTGGACCAGGAAGACTGGTCAGTCTACCTCTAGATCGATACACTGGCAAATTTGGTGCATGCAACTCTAAAATTTCAGTCTCCAATATGTGTCTAAATGTCAAAAAACTGTCAGTGCCACCAACTTCCTTATACACAAGATAAGAGTTTACAAGAGCAACATCAAGCAAAAATAAGAACACTTTCTTATGCCATTTGATTGATTTTCTTACTGAACGGTGCGACGATGCCAGCTGGTCTGCAATGTCCACACCTTTCATCCCCTCGTTGTAGTTGAGTACACACCTGGGTTTTCCAAAGCGATGCCGTCGCGGTTCCGCTTTCCGGTGTCGGCCATCTCGGCTGTATGCATCGTGGACAGCATACGGACATCTTTTTTGTCTTGCCAGACCAAGGCGAGTCAGCCCTGGTCGCAAGAACGGTAAGCAGCATCACCTCTCTCGAGTTTCAAGGAGCACAAGTCCCTGGGCATGTCTTGATGATTGCTTCTTACCGTCCCGACGACGTTTGTCTTCTGGTCGTGTGATTTCAGGTACTGTTCGGGGCTGCTGAACCAGTTGTCCAGGAAAATGGTGTACCCTTTGCCAAGAAGATTGGCATTCAAGTCAAGTACGATTTTCGTACTTGCCAGTCCAACAGTCTGGTCTGACCGGTGTTCCAGGTGTATCCAGAGGCAACTCCCGTGCTGTGGCAGACTCGATACACCTTGATGCCAAACCTTGTATGCTTCTTGGGGTTGTACTGCTTGAACTTCAGTCTCCCTTTGAATTTCCAAAGGGACACGTCGGTAGTAATGTTGCTGGACAAAATGCAGACGGACTTTAACTTCTCGGTCAGTTCGTTTATCACCAGGCGGAGCTTGTAGAGTCAATCGGTCTTATCTGCACGGCTGTTATTGATGAAATGCAAATGGGACAGCAAGTCCATAAATCTGTCGCAGGGCATGGTATTAGGGAAAAACGGAGTCTCAAGTATTGAGACCCTCGTCCAATAGGACTTCAAGTCAGGTTTCAGCATCAGTCCCATGACGATGATCATGGACAGGAACACTGACATCTCGTCTGGTGTTGTGTCAAACCAGCTTCTCATGTGACTTGGACTTGCTGCTTGACTTTTCGGATGTTCAGCGGCATAGCGGTTGGTCTCATTGGCAATGTGCAACATCAACTCTGGGGTGAAGAACTGCTCGAAGATTTGGACAGGAGTGCTGTTCTCATCCAGTTCTTGCACTTGAACTCCTGTTGTGCCTTGAAAGCCGTGTCGGCGGGGGAAGTTGTCATCAGCCGTCCATTGAATGGACAAAGTCTTGACCTTCTTCTTGGCAGACCTCGCTAACAGTGGTTGCCTGTTAGAATCGCTGTCACTAGTTTCAAGTTCTGAACTATGTTCAGATTCCGATGTGAAATCTGAATCACTAGCCGCCATCAGAGTTTCCTCTTCACTGGAAGACATCATGTAACGCAACTGAAGGGCCGGGGAGTGGCCAGGAAAATATATACCAAGCACTACAGAAAACACTCCTTTTTGGACGAAACAAATGCCTAATTATGCTGAGCAATGGACCTTCTGTATCCCGAGTGTGGGTGCTGGGGTGCTGTGCACGTGTTCAGGGCCGTAAACAATGGCGCGCGCACCATGTCAATGGCCTGTATTCATTGCGCTTCGGGCCCACACAAAGTGCGTTGCATAAGCCCTGGCAGCGGAGTCAGCGACGCTTCATGGAGATTACCCCGGGTATTCAATCAAAGACAAAGGGGGTGTTCTGATGAATAAAATCCAATTTACTGGGTATCGTGGGGTTGACCAACTCTCCTAGTTGCCCCAGATTTCCATTCAGTGCAAAGCTCCCAGTAACTACAGGTGTACATGTACACTAATAAAGGTTGCAGGTGTGGTATGCAGCTACCGCAGACATCCGGAAATTCGACTTTCCTCCAGGCGCAGCGTATGCAGTCATCTGTCGTGAAGGGGTTAATTTTTCTTGGAGATGTAATCTGATATCTAATTTGCTGTTCAAGTATTTCAGTTTGTCAAGGTCTTTTAATTTATCATGCAATTATCGTTCCAGCCTAATCTACACGTATGACTATAGTATAACATAACAGTGTTTGCCTGCTGTGACGGGGTCCATGGGTTTCGTACACCATTAGGGGCGAATGTCATCCTCGGCTTCGCCTCAAGTGCCATTTGCTCTCTCAGGTGTACAAAACACCATGGACCCCTTCACAGCAGGCAACAAAGTGCTGTTTGGGAAGGTCACTTAGGGATTCCAAATTTATGATGACTTTAACATCACCTGCAAGAGAACAAAGCATGGTATATCTGTTCAGAAATCCCACCCCAGTAAAATGAACTTTTATAATAGCTGCAGAAAATAAAGCATAAATTACATGTATGTATACATGAAGAACATGTACTTTGTCATTCTGTTGCATTTTTTGGCATTTTGGCACTATGATATTTGTCCAAGGATGAAAACTTTGAAGTGTGAAGAATACAGTGTAGATACCTAAAAGAAAGAGCAGCTTAAATGACTAATCAAATCTAGGAGGTAGTCAAGATTTGTTTTTTGTTTTGTTTTTTGGAATGAGCTTGATGTCCAAGGAACAAGGTACTTGTACATGTTAAACATTTTTTGGGGGTTACAAATTCCAGTGCACAATACTGATTTCACTAATATGGGCAATTCACAATACATTGTGCCACCAAGATGTTACCAAAAAGAGGCTGTTTTTGAGGTTATGATGGACAAAAACATGGTCATCTTGCCGCAATTTTTCATTTAACTGTCACTTAAAAACTTGAAGAAATCTCTGATGGATTGGGACACCTAATATAGTAGAGAGAAGAAAGGATTAAATAAAAGTAATACTCATAAAAGGTGGATCTTCTACTAAGACAAGCAGACATCAGGATAAATTAAAAGTTCCTTACAGTGTACAGCCAGTATAGTCAACAGCCTCCCTCAGTGAAGACTTAACTGTGAAAAATGGCCTCTCCTTTGAAATGTCTTGATGATGCATGTTATTATGAGAGGCCCATATTGTCACGTATGTATGTACATGCATAATTATTGTAATTGTTATAATTTGTTTATAGTGAGAAATTCCACACAATGGAGATGAATGGAGATCTGTCACTACTTTGGAAAGCCCATCTTAAGTTGAATCATGCTATTTCCTGACATAGGGTACATTCCATATAATTACCCCACTGCATGAATTTGTCAGATTTGAATATTTGCATGTACTTGTATTATGTTCTTTCAGATGTCAATGCATTTCTGTTATTCCGTGTGTCTTACGGTGTTCGATTCCTTGCAAACAGTGCCATCATGTTATCTGGTAAGTATCTTGACCTGATGTACACACCACGTGAACAGGTGGTTAATTTCTTTAATGGACAATGGAATTTTTAATAAAATTTTTTGCCTGATCTATTAAAACACATCAGCGTTATTTCATCAGGAAAAAGAGCAATGTTTACATGTTGGACATGTTGAAAACTGTTACATGTGTGCACCAGTCCCCCGCAAATGAAACTTATTAGATTTTTGCAAGTTGGAGGTTAAACTAAAACCATTGAAAGTCATTTTCAAAAGAATACTGTTTCACCCCCCCCACCTGTTAAATTGTTATATCAATTTAAAACAAAAGCCAAGTATGTATTTTCAAGAAGATTCATTTTAGTCCATTACCTAACCAGTGGATAACAAACTCAACTTCATGTTCACTAACTAAGATGCTTATTGTGTGTGTAATTTCACAATCCAAAATCTTCTTGATGTCCTCACTGTGTGATAACCAATAATTATGCAGCTGTAGAGTTTTCTGTCCCATTTTTATTGTTGTAAATCTGTAACTAAATCTCATTTATAATACATGTACTTGCTTGTGTACTTTTATGTTGCTTGTTGGTATAGCTGGGTAAGATGCATCATTTATGTTGACTGTGTGTGTAGATCTGGCTGAGCTTTTATATCCCGCGTGGGTAAAGTACATGTACATGTAGGGCTGATCACTGGAATTTAAGGTCAAAATGTCACACTTATTTAACTTGACAGCTTATAGGGCAGTGACGTGATCTTCATTGGGAACTTATTTCGTGTAACCTTTTACAAATAAATGCATGAATTCACTTTGAAATCCATCATGTATGATTTTATGTTTTTCTGTATGATGTTATGCTATACAGTTGTATGCCAAAGGCATTGTTGTTGAGATACCAGTGAAAGAAAACACACTGATAGAGAACTTTGTTCACCAGCCGTCTTCTGTGTATTGGAAGAATAATGAATCATCAAAGAAAAGAAAGCTTAAAATGGCAAAATTTCTAAAATGCTACACATGTATCTGCTATATTTCATGGAACAACATGACACTGTTTTTTTTCAACATGGTGTTGCTCTACAAATCATCCATGTATGTAATAACCCAAAATGCGCTCAAGGATAGCAAATTTTTTAACTAAAACCTGTGTGAAAACAGTTTTAAATGAGACTCAAAGGTGCATACACATTTAGAAAGACATAATTTTCTTAAAAGTCACATTTAGAGATAAAATTCTTTAACTTAGCATCTGGAAAAGGATCTAATCACTTCAAACATCTTAATACTGGTAGCACCCTGCTTAAAACAAGTCTTTGAAACAGCCACCTTTTCTCATGCATAGAATTTGTTTTGTACATTTACTTCAAAATTAATCAAAATGTCTGCAAATAAAAATCGCAGAATTCAAGGAATGTACCATACATGTGGATACAGTTATAAAATTGCCATGTTTACGGATAAAATTCTATGCTGTATTTATAGATTCATCAATATGCTATTTAAACAATATTATACACACGAATGTTCCGCCAGGTAGTCTCTGATGACATCTCAACTGCAGTTTTATACCTGTACATGTACATGTATATGTATGCATTTGTGTTACCTTCTGCTATGGTACATTTAAGTGTAGTGTATAAAGTTATGACAGTTTACTCATTTTGATCAAGACAATTGATATCAGTATGAATTACATGTACATGCACCCTGTTTCTTCTGCTTCAGGAATATCTGGATTGGCATTTTCAGGATCATTCGCCCTTGCTATAATTTCAATTGTAAGTACAGGTACATGTTATTGTGACTCATTTATGGTTACTACATATATGTACATCATGTACAGTACTTGTACACCCATGTGAGGCACTGACTTGCTAGAGCTTGCTTAGAATTTGATTCAATTAAACAATTTACTTGTATCCAGGTATCAGGCCAACACATACAAGTGTATATATGTTATGTCATTGGATTACCACAGACGGATAAGGTGTGGCATCACACACAAGACATGATTCAACTTTGGAAACAAATCCAATATCTCAATTGAGTACCAATTGGAAAATCTGATAACATACCACATGAACAAGAACAATCCATCTAATAAAGAACTTCATGGAATTTCAGGCTATTCATGGTGAAAGACAGCAATAGATGGAAAGGCTTGTGGTAGCACCATGCGAAGGAATACACATGTACATGTATCTCTCTTATAAGTATGTGGTTCTGAAAAGAACCAGGAGTATACTAGACATTTCGGACTGCGTGATGAGTCCGACATCAGGAGACTGACGACATGTTTAAAATTTACTACATACTGTACACCCTATACACACTGATCCTTTTTCTTAAATATCTTTTGATGAAGTATCTATACATGTACATGTAAGTTAAGAATTGGAACATTTTTTGTTGTTTTACTGTTACACTGCATTTTGTGAGACATCACCTCCTTACAATGTATGTGTGGTATAAGAATATGTATACATGTATCTTGGTGGGGAATGGGACATACATGTATGTATATGTACTTAATTTGCCTTTAGAGATTTTTCTTTCAGCAGTTTCAAGTAACCAATGACGGGCTTTTAACTAACCGGAACATATGAAGCAAACCATGGGACAGAGAGGACCCCTTGCCTTTGTGTTGGTCATTGTTATACTGGTATCTCAGGAATTCTTTTCAGACATCTAGGGGGGATGTGATCATCGACAATAGGCTGGAGTGTGTATAGACCTTTTCCTCCCACCTGACCATTGTAAACAGTGCCGCCATGTTGGACCGCCAAGCAGCAATCGCCAGTACGTTTGCAGATGCCTTCACTGTATGTACTAGTATACACATTGCATGTCCATTTTCCTGAGGTTTGAAAGCAAGGGCGATTCTCAGACTCTTTCTCTGCTCGTCCACCATCTGAAGGGTAACGAAAAGGCCAGATATTTGTCTAAGTTGGAATTGCTGAATATATCAGACCCATATTTGATGCTGAAAGTGCTATTGTCGGGCCTTTTAGCGAGCGTTCACCTACCTGATGTGCAGTACCCAGACATCTTTAACCCCTTTGCGCTGGGAATTTCTTCCCGAAAACCAACTCCAAGAATTCCAGCCTCGCTTGGCCACGAAGGCCACCTGTCAAACTGCAAATTCTCGGTTTGTGGCCCTGCGTGCTCTGCACGCTTTGAATTACACAGTGAAAGGGCTACAGAAGCAGTCATTGAAGGCCTACAAAAGTCTTGATGATTTCAAGTATTTTGTGGCAGGATGGGTGCGTGATGTTGAGGTCTTCAATGTTCCAAATTCGGATGTTTTTTGATCGTGTCTAAGGTAAGAAACTTTCTTTGTGGGGATGTGAGAGAGGAGCCTTATCGGTGAAGTTATACTGATAGCATTGCCAACTACCGGCCTAACGTAACTTACATGTACATGCCGTTTTGCTACAGTTAGCACTGGGACATACTAGCTTATTACTTGACAAGATGATTTTCTCATGCCACCGTACAAATTTCTCCAATTTACATAACAGCCTAATTTGTAGAAATTATGAGGTTTGACCATGGTAAAGACTTAATTTTTTACATGCCCAAATAGTAATAGTATAGGCCTATACATATGATTTCTGTTTTTCTTCTCTCTAAGTTTTCCATTCCCAGCAGCTTGGATAGACACCTCACAAGCCATGGGTTGCTGTCAAGTTAGATGGACAAATTCTTCATCTGTTCATGGGTTCTGCACTTGTATGGCTGGTGTTGCAAAGTCGTGTTCCCACATTGCAGCAACTTGTTTTGCAGTTGAAGCTGCTGTGTGGGTGAAATAATAAGTACATCAAGTACCTCCAAGGAATGCCAGTGGCTTGCCCCATCCTCAAGAAATGTGGATTATGTGGAAACTGTCAACATTGACTTTTCTAGTCCCAAGAGAAGGCAGAAGTGTGGTGGAGTCACCCCCAAGGAGGTACCACCTCTTGACATTGATGCACCATCGGCTACAGAGACACATGACTTCTACGCAATGCTGAACCAGTCACCAAAAAAAGCCAATGGTTTTGTCGATGGTTTTTTAATATAGCAGGTTATTGTACTCAATATTTTTCCTGGTCTGATTTAAGTATTTTTCATCCTAACTTAATTATACATTTGAAAATTTCCCAAGGAACATAGCCATTAGGAAATAAGGCAAAACCTCTCATCCTTTGTACATTTGAAATCATTGTTTTTTTAAAACTTGAATGATGACTATCAGTTACATGTCTATTACTGTTTGTGTGAATGCAACACGTTTGAATTATGGTACACATGTACTCAACCTGCTCACCCCATAGTCCTCACACGTATGCTATTTATTCTCCAGCTAGTTTGTTCCAAGACCAGTACTCCTTGATCTTCCGCAGCCATTGACAGAGCTGTATGGTGCCAAATTTGTTGCTGCTTCCTTCGATGAAGTCCTTGCAAAAAAGCAAGACTGTGTGTAAGGAAATGGCAGTTTCTAAGAAGCAGGTAGTTTGTTTTTTCCATAACAGTGAAAATATAATGGAAATTAATTTTCCTTCTGAGGAGACAGATTTGTCCCTTAAACATAATGTCCTAATTTTTTATCCTTCCCCTTTGGTAACATTTTAGATTGTTGGTATAGAAAGAGAAACAAGGAGCCAGGCTGCATCAAAGACATGGTTCTTGTATCTAGCTGGGCGTGTCGCCTTATCACTTTACAAGGCCGTCTGCCACACCAGCTGTGATAACCCATCCATGTCCCTCATCAAGAGGATATGCTACCCCCCACACTAACAGATTCTCAGTGCAGCAACCAGGTATGTTCAATGGAAATAAAATATAAAAATTTTGCTATGCAAAAAACACTTTTGGTTAAGTTGTTGGCAGCACATGTACATAGCAGTTGTATCTGTAACTGTGCACATCTGTGCTGTCTAACCGTAGAAGGGTCAAGGTACAGAAATGTGCTTTCTGTTACATACTAAATTATAACAGGGTGCACATTTCATTGGTTTTAACTGAACAAAAGATTCTGAGGAAGTAAAATTGGACAGTTCTTAGAACCAGTGAACATTGCCTGTATTTCTGCATTTATGTATACCTGAACCAACGTACTTTGTCTTTTGCAGGTGGGGGTGTAAACATGAATGTCAAACTCTATCAAACTCTGATGTCTACATCAGTAAGAGTCAGCATGTAAATCAGAAGGTGACTGACTGGACTTTTCATACATCCCAAGCATAGCTACATAGGGCCCTCCCAAGATGTGTGTGTATCTTGTGACTGTTGTGGTGAGGGAATACTTGAGATTAAATGTCCATATTGTCACAGGAATGACACAGTAGCTGATGCAGCATCTACAGACAGCCTTCTGCCTTGAAAAGCTTGGTGGTGCACTGAGTTTGAAGAAAACCACCAAAATTATTTTCAAATTCAGTGTCAGTTGATGGTAACCTCCAGAAAATATTGTGACTTTGTTGTTTACACCAAGTCTGACTTCCACATTGAACGCATACTTCCAGAGTCCAACTTTGTAAACACAATCCATAATTTTGCAAAGTTTTACAAGACTTGTGTTCCTTAACTCATTAGTCAGCACTACACTCACAAAGCTGCCCATGTCTCTACGTCTTGTGTGCCATGCTTTTGACAAGACTTTGACTTAAAGAAGACAATCATTAAGTGCTCATCTACTGATTGTACTGTTAAAGAGTTTCACAAACAGTGTGTGGGCCTGAAGAATAACCCCGCAAAGAAATGGTTGAGCAAAGTGAAGAAAACTTAGTTTTGTGTGAGAAATACATTGTACACCCAACCACACACGTGCTGCAAACTCCCACATCTATCATGCTCTTAAGTGGGTTTGTTACATTTGAGGAATGTGTTATGCCACACTGTATGCAGGCCAGATTTCCATCTTATTTTTCTCCCTGTACATTATAAATATGAATGGGATGCTTAAACCCCAAATACAAATTAATATCAGAGGAACAGAATAACAAATACAATAGCCTCTGCTTCTTGTCATTTTATTGTACGTGCAGTAAAAGTTTTAGTTTCGTAGTATTGTTATACAATTACATGTAGCATAATTATCCCATCACATTTTCTATAATTCTATCCTTGAAGTGACAGTGAAAATAAAGATTTTATGAGGGAAACTGGTATTTCAATAAATCCCTTAGTACTGCACTGAACATTACGTCACATCAGTAAAACATGCAATGGAATAAAACACATTTCAAAGTGATTAAGTACACAGGAGAACCTGAAATTGCATGTCTTGAGTGTTTTTTACAAAACCTTGCCAGTTAAGTTTGGATAAGTGTGGCTTATCATACTGTACCTTCTTTTGTTAATGATGACAACAGAGTTGTCCAATTAGGGGGGTATGTTACGTGGGTTACTAAAACCATTTGAATAGGTTTTATGGCTTAACATAGAGCGTAAAACTTGTGGGTTGTTCAGTTTGAGTACATATTTTGGGCAAGCAAGAGTAATTCCATATGTCTCGAACTTCTTCATTGAACATGTCACAGTACAACTTTTAGAATAACATGGTGTGCAGAATATTCTGGACTTTTCCTTCAGTTATCAAGTTATACTGTAAAAACAGGCTTTAATACAACTTACATGTAAGTCTTAATAGTTTAATGACTATACATGTACTTAAACGGAGGACACAATTCCTTCGAAGGCATTACACAGCATACAAAACTCATTCTATCCAGGGTTGTGTAGCCACCAGTACCACGTTGCAGAAGTGTGACAGGAATGGTGTCCTTCAGAATTGCATATTTCATTCGAAGTTTTCCTATGACCCTTTCCACATGAATCCTCACACCTCCCTGGTTTTTTCAACCGCTTTGGCTTCAAGTTGAGTCTTACCCTTAGTAAATGCAGGGATTGAAAGGTGAGCACCCATCAAGCCAACTGAATCAGCAATGTCAAAACCCCAGTCTGCTAAAACAAGATCTCCAGGCACCAAGTTATGCAAAAACCCACAGTGCTCAGTTATATACTTGTCAGAAGTCCCACCACCCCAACCCTTTGAAATATATGAGATAAACCCAATTGGAGTTATACCAATCAAATATTTCACAGTATTATGAGATTTATAATGGGAATCTGTTTCAGCGTGAGCCTTCAAATCACTTTGTCGTTCACAAAATATTTCAAAGCATATATAATACAAACACAACGTTTATGTGATCTTCAAAATGCCATTGGAAGTGTTGAGCAGATTTGATATCTATCAGGCCAAAACACAAGAATTGGTACTAGTCTACAAAACATCACATCAATCACATCAGAAATAATAATAATCAAATGTGCAAGCAAAGTACTGTAACCTTAAGGCACGCTTTAGCTGCAAAAAGATGATGATAAATGAAGTGAAAGAATCAACTGATCTCTGATGAATGTGGTCCTTAACAAGACTGAAAATGGCCATTAGTGTAGTGAATGTTTGCAATCCAGTCATGTTGTTCACTTTGGTGTCATTCCCCTGAAAACCAGCCATGAAGAAGGATGACTTGTCCAATCTTGTCTTCAAATTGATGTTGTCAGTTCTGATAGCTTACAACTCGTCAAACACTTGTCCGAGGTATGCTGATGTAACATCGGTCTGTACTGATGCTGAAGACAAGTTGCCATCAACAGGAAGTTCATCTGAAAAACAACCAAAAAATAAGTGAACTATTAGCATGATTGTTGGCCATGAGATAAAAGAAATTAATAGGAAAATGTTTCTTCTTAAGTTTCTTGTTTTACTGCTAGACTTACCGGTTCAGTGATCACAGAAATAGGGTGTAAAAAAATGATTGTAATGTCCAAAGCTAACCTTGTGAGGTAGGCCTAGTCATGGAAGATGGTAGAATTGGATCCTAATTTTGACAGCCAGCTGCATGTAACTGCAGTAATGCTGATGCAGCATCCATCGTGTGAGTTGCAGACCTCTTCTTGGTGGACACTGCCCCTCATATGAGGCTAGTGTGGTCTGGGCAGCACTTGGCGATGGAGTGTGTTCAAAAATTGAAGGAACATGGTCAGGCGAGAGAGGATCATTACTTTTTTCCCTGCCGAGTTCAAAATATAGGTAAATTACCCATTCATGTTTTTCTCAACTGCTGATAAGGCCCTTTATGATTTTTTTCACAATCCTTTATTCACACAAATGGAGAAAACAGAAAAGTGACTGCCCTACAAAATACAAGTACAAGAAGTGGTCACATGACATATACAGTTCTCTACAATCAACTGATGACCAAACATTGGCATCTATTAATTTGGGGATAGCCTATCAAAGCAAGCACATCAACTGTGCAGTTTCAGCTGGAGTAAAAAACAGTAGGCCTAAAAAGTATACTTTTTTGTGATGATGATGCATTACAATGTCTAGCGTGTAGTGTCATGACGTGTATGGTGCAGGCCCTTCAAATACTTTCCTAAGGCTTATACTTCCTAGGATACGGCGACTGCCAAAAAACTTACAATTCGCAGGCAATTTCAGCATATAAGCAATACGCAAAGAAAAATGGGCTTGTCAAATTGTCCCGAGGTGTGTCGCCAAAACGGAAAAGTGCTATGAGTAACATTATAACTTGCCGGATATGAAGTGTTCACTGCAGAGCCGACATGAACGAGACGGTACCCTGTCTTGGCGTTGAATCACCACAATCCATCAAGCCCTTCGGTCCTTTTCAGCTGGAATTCTATAGAATTCTAAATCAGGGCATTCTTCCTAATGATTGTTACATCCCACAGCACAGCAGAGCTTTATATTTACACTGTTGTTGTCAGGAAATCTCTGAATCAACACTCAGGAAAATCTGACCTCTGAGCATACATTCATGTACAATGTACACGTAACGATGCGTTTACATTGCACCTTGGTTACACTGGCCGGCATGAAAGTGGTCCAACATGGCAGCACTTTTTCAGCGTGTGCTCTAGTGACGTCACTGAAAATGGTTTATAGGCATTGGACTTGTTGGAGGGGGGTACCCCTCTGTCCCATTTCGTGCCTGGTATAAACAGGAAGAGTCATCTGTCTCAGGTACATGTATTTGTGAAAGTGAACACTTTCAAATAATCAACTGTTGAATGCTATCGGTGTGAGTTTTAAAGAAAGTCCACCGGTAGTGCAAGTACATGTATCATGTAGTGCTGAATTTTCTGACCAGATTGATATAATCAAGAGTGGTGTTTTAAGTTTTCGTTGTTACAGAATTCTGAATAAGTACCATATGAATATTTCATGTTAACAGGTACTTGTTGGTGCGTCACATGCTTTTGGAGAAAAGTAAGTGTTTGACTTTGCCCACTTTATGTTCTTTTTATGCCCCACCAGCCCTGTGGATACTGTGGATCCATGAACAAAAGAGGTCCACATAATGAAAGCTGTGCTAATCTTGTTTGAACTGAGGCAAAGTATCCCCTTTGAAAAAATAGTTTAGAGACAGTTTTGGCATTAATTTTTCACAACAAAAGAAAGGAACAGTCAAGGAAACATCACCAAAATTCCAGTGTGGAAGAGTGTTCAAAGTGCAAGAAAGATTAGTATTTTCACCAAGTTTCCTTAACTACATGTACATAAAAAGAAAGGAATGCCCACCATAGGCATGTAATGCAAACATGAGTGCCTTGCTAGCTCCATATTGTGTGAGAAGAAACATCCTTCTTGCCAAGAAACTTGTCAAGAAATTTGGGATCAAGTTGAGACCAAAATTTGTCCCCATAATGAAATTGTCCTCCTTATTACTATCACTTAACACATGTATAGTCCCCACAACTACAGTGCCGGTATGTAAGTGTAAACCAGAAAAATAGCTTGAGATCCATAAATATTAAGCCCATGTGACTAGTTGCCAATACCACTAGTATTGACTAGTTGTGATGCAGCGACTAGTGTTCAGAGCAGCTGCTACTAGTCAAGCCCAATCCGGACATGCACTGAACATGTGTTCAGAGCAGCCACACACTGGCAATGCATCATGCCCATGTAAAGTTTGTACAGCAAACTTGGCTTGTCGGTTAGCACACACTGCACAACTTGATGTCGTGAGTGACCACCAATACCTTGTCTCCTTTCTCAGTGGTATTCTTGTCGACTAGTCAAAGTACATGTAATTGTGCAGCCGCAACTAGTTGAGTCGTGTGGGCCTAGTGCCAGTGCATCTCAGTTGCTATTAGTCGAGTCCACTCCGGACATGCTTGCACAGAGCATGCATGGCGCAAACATGATTTCTTCTTGCTTGAAGATATTATTATTCATTAGTGGGACCATGCATCTGTGCTGTAAGCTTTGGGATTGTTGCGTGTTTATGCATGTCTGTGAAATAAAAGGATTTGCAGTGATGGTACACACTGTGACAGAGTCTTGTTTATCTGTCACAAACAATATTTTACAAATCACTGTTTAATTTTGATTTGTGATTCCAAACTGTTCTCTGTAAATCCTCTGCAATCGAAAGGCTGATGCTGTGCCTGGTTGAATTCATTGACCAAAATATGAATCATTTGTTGTTTCTGTATTTAATGTTTAATGTATAAACCTTTGTGAAGTAAAAAAGTTTGTTTGCATATAGTAATAATTACTTTCTGTGCAAAGTGATTTAAAAATATTTTATTTGTTATAAGCTTTCCTGACATTTATATAAATATCAGGGTCTCATCCCTCTTCTTGAAATAAATTGGAAGTGTCCAAGTCATGTGAACGTCACTGACCATCCAGGGCACACCTTGCCTGTCGACGTGCATCATGCATGATTGTAAACTCATTAGCATTCAGGTGGACTACTATGCGCTGCTTAAGCATACAGCGTACATTTTTATTCATGTGGGTGTACATGTTGTATGTAAAACATCATGAAAGTGACGGTACTGTTGGGGTCAGATAATTGTTAATACATGTACATGTTCTGCATGAAACAAGTCCGCTAAAACATGTAGGAACAATTCCTTTTATATGAAATGCCAAGCAATTTAATTTTTTTCCCACGACCAAACCTTTACACATGTGTAGTTTGGAACTTTGGTTTGAAAAATGAACTTGCTATGGCGTGTATTGTTCAGAATGTAAGCATGGCTGCACTGTGCATGGGTCAGGTCCACATGGGCAACGGACAACAAAACCATGTGCATGTAAACTTTCTTGAAAATTCGCTTTGTTGCATGAGTGTATTGTCTCTTGTGAGAGCAGTGTAAACCAAAAATAAAGACAGTAAAACATTGAAAATGTACACAAAAAATTTAAATCATGTTCGTGGATCAAATCTGCCACTAATTCCCTTCTCTGTCAATGTTTATTTGATGTATTTACAAACATCAGACTCAACAACTGAAGGGAGCCCCCAGCCTGATTCAGTGTGCGCCGCCCAGCCATAAACTGTCTCTGTCCTTCATCATTGCAATCTTAGCACTGTGTCATGGGTCGGGCACCAGTCAGACATTGTTGAATACACAATAATTGTAAATGGCGTGTGCTTTTCACCTCTGCAAAGTTATTGATTGCATTGTGGAATGATTAAGGTTCCCTTCCAAAAAGTGGTAGTAAGTAAGCAGAGAAACAAAGAAAGAAATATCACAAGCGATTCTTACAAATGTTTTATGTTGAACAACAGCCTCATGTTTCGTTCATGCTAGCGTAAAAGTTCAACCGTCCAAACAAAGTGGAAAGCACAGTGTAACACCATGCAAAATGTACCCCATGTTATATTATGCAACTGTGGTCATGTTTTTAGTGGATAAATAAACAATGCAAATAGTCGCGACTAGTCAACTAGTCACAACTATTTATTAATAGTCACCAGGACTTCTGATATTCACTAGTCGCCCACATCTAATAAATGTACATGTATGCAAAATCTAAAAGAACAACAATGTTAAAGCATGCAGGTGACTCACTGTTGACAGGTTCTGTTGACTGGAAGACAGGGTTAGTTTCATCCAGATGAGGTAAGTCACTGCTGACAGAAATAAAAAAGTCATCAATCTTATCTGCTAGCGCCTGCAGATCTCCATTGGACACCGTTTTGGCAAGGCCGGCAAATAGGCATCTCCCTTTATTGATGGTGCTCCCATGAGTGCCTTCATGTTTTTCCACCAGTCTTTGAAGGAGCAATTCTGCAAGGTGGCAATCTTACACTGGTGCAAATCATGCCGTAAATGCGAGGCAGCACAATGAACTTGGTTACGAAGTTGTTTTGCAAAGTCAACTTTGCCTGCTATTCTTGCCCGCTCTGGACTAAATGCCGAAATGCATCAGTGACCTATGGCTTATCGTTGGTGTGTCTTGTCATGATCTTGGTGGGAAAACAGGACTGCTTTAATGAGTGCAGGACTGACTGGTAAATGGCTAATTTCTCATGGCAACTTTCAGAGTTGGACAAAACATTCCAATCGATCTCAGAAATTGCTGAGCTAAACACTGCTTTCTCTCTTTTGTCCATGCACCGAGTGGTGATCCTGAGGGTGTGGCCAGTGTCTAGAGATGGGGCGTTGGATGGGGAAAATAAAGCCATATTATGATCTGATGTACCAAGTTCCGAGAGTACGACAGGTTTGTCGTAAACGGATGACAGAATGGTCCAGATCTTGTCCAAAATTGACTGATGCCGTTTGGGTGAATCTACTACTTGCTTAAAGCCATTATGGGTACTTAGGAATGCATCTCTGAGTTGATTGAAATCACCAGTCACTATTACACCACACAATGGGTGCAGTCGTAAGATGCTATCGGCACAATTAATGAGGTAGTCATGCATGGACGTGCTGTCTGCATCGGGTGGTAAATGCAACCAATGGCCACACAGGCAAACTGTTGAAGTTTTTGTGGTCTCGACGTGATCCATACTGCTTCATGTGTGTTGTCTTCCAAGACTTGTAGTCTTTTGTAAGGAATGGAGTTTCTTATGTATAATGCCACGCCGCCCGCTCTTTGCTTTTTTCGATCTCTTCTTTCACATATCGGGCTTGGTAGGGCCACGGCATCGCTAGAAATGTGTTTGTTGAACGATGTTTCAGTCACACAGGCAGTGTCCACCTGATTATTGCAAATAACTACAACCATTGCATTTAGACCATTTCAAACCAATTGACACCATTTGAATGCCAATTCACAATCCAATTGTAACCAACCTAAGAACCAATTGAAATCATTTCATTACCAATTCAAACCAATTGAGTCCTATTTGAAAAATCCATTTGATGGGGGAAACAAGCTGAAAGCAAACCAGTTGCATCCCATTTGAACTTTCCAGTTATCGAGGAAAACAAACAGAGAGAAAAAATACCATTTGGAACCATTTGATTCCCATTTGAAATTCCACTTGTTTGAGGAAAATAAACAGCAAAGAAAAAATGCCAATTTAAGAAACAATTTTATCCTGTTTGAAATCTCCAATTAATGGGGGAAAACAAATGGGAGAGAAAACATACCAACTGAAACCAATTGAGCACCAATTGATTGCCAAGTAGACCCAATTCATTCCAATTTAATTCAGTTAAAATATCAATTGGTTTGAATTGGCCATTTTTAGTAGAGCAATGACATATAGGTGCTGGGAAAAGACATCTCACTTTTCTTGCAGCAATTGAGTGACATGGGATCTATCTTCCTGTGACAGAGAACTGAGGTCAACATCAGGGCTTTCATTTTGGATGCTTCACAACATGTTGCGGTGTCACCAGCAGGACTGCAAGCTGAAGAAACTGCTCTTCCCATAACTAATGCTGCCAGACAACTATTGTGATGTAGCACAACATCATGTCACTTTAAGAACATGCACAGGGACCTCCCCATTCCGGACTTAGGCGTGGACGACTGTAGTGAATATCAGTAGTTGAGGCGACTATCAACAAATAGTTGCGACTAGTCACGACCATTCGCATTGTTCATTTATCCAATAAAAGCCATGTCCGCGGTTGATATCAATAATTTTGGATGATATCGCACTGCATTCCACTTAGTTTGGAAGGTTGGACTTTTACACTATCGTGAACGAAATATGAGGCTGCTTTTAAGATAAGTGTTTCGTCAGAATCGCTTGTGGTATTCTTTATTGTTTCTCTGCTTACTACCACTTTTTGGAAGGAACCATTAATAATTCTGCAGTGCAGTCAACAACTCTGCAGAGGTGAAAAGTACACGCCATTTACAATTATTATGCATTCAACAACGTCTGACTGGTGCCCGACCCGCGACACAGAGCTACGATTGCAATGATGAAGGACAGAGACAGTTTATGGCTGGGCGGCGCATGCTGAATCAGAGGCGCCCTTCAGTTGTTGAGTCTGATGTTGGTAAACATGTCAAATAAATATTGATAGAAAAAGTAATTAGCAGCAGATTTGGTCTACGAACATGATTTTATATCCTCTGTGAACGTATTCAGTTTTAATGTCTTTTTTTCAAGTTTACACTGCTCTCACAAGAGACAATACGCTCATGCAGCAAAGTGAATTTTCAAGAAATTTTATATACATGTGGTTTTGTGGTTTGTTGCCTGTGTACCCGACTTACGCACAGTGCAACCATGCTTACATTCTGAATGATACGTGCCATTGCAACTTCAGTTTTCAAACCAAAGTTTCAAAGTACACATCTTTCAAGGTTTGGTAGTGGGAAAAAAATTAAACTGCTTGAAACTTGATATTAAAAGGAATTGTTCCTTTTATAGGTGACTTGAATTGTATTTCTTGATAATTTTGCCTAACAATCAGTATTCCCTTGACAAAAACCAATCTATGACCCTACCTTTAATCTTGAAACAGTTAAACAGCATTCCTTCACATTGCAACTCTGAACCATGTTGCAAACTTAGGCAAACAAAATTCTACAGTTGCAAGGCCTTTCTTTTGTTGACATTCATTCTTGGTACCATTGTAGGAGGTACTCAGTGATTATTGGTGATACTGAATCCTTCTCAATGTCATCCGATTTGACACTGTATTACTGGATAACAAATTTAGAATGTCATTTCAAAACTGATTTCTATGATACATGCTATACATTGGCTGTGTTGAGTTCTACGACAACAGATGATTAGCTTCACAAGTTTGTGAAGACAAAGTATTTTAACATGCTGTCCCTTGGATGAATTATATTGGGGAAAAAATCATACCAAATGTGAAGTTAATGCCAACCATTTGCTCCCTCAGTATTGCTTTGGGCTACCTATCAAGATTTGACAGTCAAAATGTGGCAGCTTGGGCTAGTGGCTATGGATTAGCAGGACTTCTAGGAGCTGTTCTGTATGTTTTATTCGGTGAGTGTTCACTTTTCTAGGATCTCACTAGTTCAGAGATTTTGTAGAAGCTTTGGAAGAGAGAGTTAATCTGGTTTGATTTGATTTTCCCTGTTTCTTTTAATTTCTGTTGTGGGTAAACACATGGTTATTTCTGGAAGCAGTGCCCTCACACTAGCTTGGGCTTCCCATGCTACAAGGGCAATTGCTTACAGTAATATCAAGCACATTGTGCATATTCAAATCTGTCCTACGTGTACAGCGACTTGTCACACTACTATGAGTTCAATTAAGATACTTAAAGACATTTTTAGTGGCAACTCTAACATTTACAAAAAAGGGAAGGGGGATTTACAGGCCGGAAGTGTCCCATTTGAAAAATGAACATTTACATGAAAGTAGGGAACATTTTAGTTAGTCACAATGAGCAGTTGAAAGCAATAGAAAAAGGGGTTAAAAGAAAAAGTATAGAAAAAAGGGGGGTCACATCAGTTGTTCCACCTGGATGCAGTACTGATATGGCATTGCCTATTTCATTTGGTTTCAAGGTTGCTTGATAAGTGAGGAGTATTCCCAAGACATGAGAAATTTGGATAAGTAAGTGGCAATCTACATGTATTTCTCTAAGCAGTATTGCATTTCTGCCATTAAAACTGGTTTTCATTGTTAGTTAAAAATATTTCATTTTCAAATGTATTTTGTGTGGGACTTGTTTAATCATGGTCTGAATCAGTTCACAAAAATACTTGTTGTCTTTGATTACCAACTTTCTTTTTGGTTGTGATAGCTTTCCGAGCAAGGTTTTTTTTTGTGGGCTGTTATCCCAGAGTATGCACTTAAACCTCAAAAGAGATCAATTCGTAGAGTTTGTAATTTTGATTTTTCTTTCCATTTCAATGATTATAAAAGAAATTTGATGCTAAAGATTCCACACATACTTAAGCCCTTGTTGTGACGGCATTTTTATGCATATACGTAAAGTAAATCTTTAAAACTTGGAAGTACAGTTGATTCCGCTTACAAAAGACACAGACTCGTTAAGACGTATGTCCAACTGCAACAAGCCTGCATCATCCGTCCATTGTAAATTGTGCATGTTTCTGTGGAGAAATATTTGCTTTGACCACTTGCTGCCGGGGAGCCTGGTTTCCGGCACATATTCTTCATATGTGTAGCAGGTCTTAAGATCAGACAAAGGGAACTGGGCCTTGTAACAAAAGACTGTACTCATAACAAAAGACCAGGCTGCTGGGAATGACCCAGTGCAATATAGTCCCATTTTACATCGTTTACGCATAGTACATGTACATCTACATGTACATGTATGGGTGCAAATGTACATGTCAGTACTGGTACGTGTACACACATGTAAACATTCACATGTATTTGGGATTTTTGAGTCCTTATAAAATCTAATTGTGTGTTATCCACAAATCTAACCTACAATCGCTGGTTTGAAAAGTCACTTGGGAATCTAATGTACAAAAACTGCTCTCCGGGGAATTGTTTTGATTGCGACAACAGCCAGCGTCAACACAGTTAATCGGCATTCCTTGGAAATTCAGATTGCACTATAAAAACGAGAGCCCTAGTTTTATTGATCTAAAACCTGAAAACCAGTGACGAAATTCTTGACCAAGTACTTACGATATTTAATATTGCACAAGTGCATATGAACAATACAGTACACTGGAATATGGAAACTCCATGTCATCTTGATAAATGGAACATGGTTTGCAAAGTTTCAGCCCAATGGGACATGGACTTCGCGAGATATATAGCTTTAGAAAGTGCCCGTTTAATGTCACGTGACTTGTCAAGCAATAACTTCATACTCACATCAGGGCAATCCAGGTCTCAAACCCTTCCCTCTCGAGCTATATACAAAAATTCAAGCCAATCGGACATGTAATTTGCAAGATATACTACTTTTAAGTGTGCCTTTTTAAGGTCATGTGACTTATCACGTGGTGGCGTCATCATCATCAGGTCAATCTACATGTAGGTCTCAAACCCTTCCCTCTCAAGGTATTTACAAAATTTCAAGCCAATCGGACATGTAGTTCGCGAGATATACTGCTTTGAAGACTGCCCTTTAAGGTCACATGACTTGTCACATGATGATGTCTTAATTACATCAGGTCAATTTAGGTCTCAAACCCTTCCCTCTTGAGCTATATACAAAATTTCAAGCAAATCAGACATGCAATTCGCAAGATATAGTGCTTTGAGGTCATCAGTTCAATTTATGTCTAACACCTTTCCCCTTCCAGCTACACACAAATTTTCAACCAAATCGGATATATACTTCATGATATGTAGCACTTTAAGCTAGTGCCCCGTTAATGTCACGTGACTTGTCACATAGTGGCGTCATTGTGACTATTTGGCGTTGGACTATCCTGAAATACATGTAATTGTGGGAAGGTTTGCTAAGTACAAAGTACACCCATTTAATAACAAAATTTCTCACTCAGAATTATTATCCTTGTAGAAACTGACTCATAACACCATGGTGTCAGACGTACTCAAAGAAAGTTAATTTTTTTGAGTTTCCATTTTTGTATCACAAACTCTGTGAAATGCTAGGACCTGAAGAAGTAGTTTTCCTGTGTTAAGTTTTAGCAGACCCTTGTTATTAAACTTCAAGGCAAGACACATTTTTATCTTCTTGTGACTTTCAGATAAAGGATTTATTATATTGGTGTCAGACGTACATTTTTTGGTGTCGGACGTACACGTCCAAACTGACTTTTCAGAATAGAAGGTAATCAGTTCAAACCCAAGTTTGTCTCATTTTTCTACCTTCATGAAGGCTTTAGTAAACTTTCCAAACCAAAAGAAAATGCCAAGCCATACAAAAATCATCAAAAGCAACTAGAAAGGAATTGGATGATTGGGCATTCAGTGAAACAGTATGAAGGAAAATATTGTCTAGAAGTATTTATGCAAATTTTGCCCATTTAAACAAGTCATGTACTGCCAAACATTTAAACAAAAAAAGTTTTCTACAGTTGACAATCCTTTAGATAAATAAATCAAATTACAAGACAATTGCATACATGTACCTGTAAGATCTTTTGGTCTTAGAACATGAAATTAAACATTTTCGTATGACAAATGCTGCATGTGTACTAAGCTGCAATTTTAAAGATTTCCAATTCACACTTCACAGGTTATAGTACACATGTAAAATCCAAAAAGAACCTAAACGAGTAGATGTTTATATACCCTTTTAGATGATTACAAAATCAAAAGAATGGGCTTGCAATTAGGCTGAGAGATTACCCTTTTCACTGAAATTTAAGACTAATGGCATAATGAAAAACTACAGCCTTACATTGTATGTTTCATGATAGATACTGTACATGTACCGTTTATGCCATGGAAAGCATATACAAGTGGGACACCCCCTTTAATTCCTCAAGCAACACAAAGTGAAACCAATTGATTTTACATGTACCTTGAACAAAGGTATAAAACACACCTTTGTTTAGTCTTTGACAATACTTGTATCTTGATATGGATTGCATGTTCATGTATACAACACCTCGAACTTTACTTGCCTTCAGTAAAGCTCACACTGACATTGCTTACTTCTGAATACATGCAAAGTACATGTTTGTCCACACATGACACATGTGGAATGGCTATGGGCCCTAATTATAACCTTATTAGGATGTGTTTGTCCAAATAGTCAAATTTATGCAAATTAGTAAAAAACAAAAGTGAAGCCTATTTGGTACTTTTACAAAATGTTGGGGCCTCATTTGCATGTATGCAAATGAGGTGGTAGTGGTTTCTGTACAGTGCAAAAGCATTGCATTGCCAGCAATGCATGGTTTTGATAGTGTCGGACATACAGGGTGTCGGATGTACACATATTTGAAAAAATAATCGGGGGAGTTAAGCTGATGTCTAGAAAGAAGGAACTCATTGTGCTTTGTATTGTAAATTTGGCAGTCTTTTGCTAAAGGGTGCACTGAGGGGATAAAAACTATGTCATTTTGGTGTCGGATGTACATAAGAAAAGTGTTATAAAATAAGACGTTACATAGAATTTCAAAAGGAAATAGAAAATTCATTTCTGTCATTGTTTACTTATTGGGACAGGAATAGGAGATAAAGTTTCCCAGTGTAAGGGCCCCTTAGGACACTCACAGAGTAACAGGGTCGAGGTTAAAGAGTTACTCTGTCATGAATGAAGTAGAAATTGAATTTTTGTGAGAGGACTGGGATGGGAATCAGACAATTGCAGTGCCTAAAAGCCTGGGTTGGATCTGACAGGGGTTGAGCTACTGTAGGAGGAACCTTGTGTAGAGTACATGCAATAACCGCATGTGTCAGGAGAGACTGGAGTCTAGAAGCGTTTTGTGAACACAGAAAAGACAAGAGGATTTTTCTGTACCTGTTTCTTAACTTCCCAATAAAAATTTTAGAGTTGTGCTTAAAATTAAGGTCGGTCAGCAACCTGCAGAAGTAGAACTACATTTGGGAAGGGTCAATATGAATGGCTGCATGGCTGAAGTTGCAGAAAATTAACCCCTCATTTGCAACAGTTTTTGTCCCCAAATGCACATTTGAATCAGTTGTCCGAGAAGAGGTTATCTTTGTTGTGGCTTAATTCTCTCCAGTACTGACAATGCAGTTGCTACATATAAGTAAAAGTAATAAGACACATGTACATGAAAAAACAGAACTATATATTGTTTGGAAAGAAATTTATGATTTTCTTTAGTAGACAGTATTTATTATTCATGAGTCTGTTAATACTTCTGTTTACACAACCGGCCACAATTTGCCAGCTACTGGTATGAAAAACTACAGAACAGTAAATGGCGCCTTGAATACAAGCACCCCTTCATTCTTTCAAAAGAGCCATGTTGATTGGGAGTGTTCATTTTGCTAATAGCAACATGACCGTAATGGGTGATTTCATAGTTGTTTATGAACCAGCGAAGTGCAGTTCCAACCAAAGGAGCCTCTGTTACTAGGAAAATTTGTGCCCTCTCTTGGTCCAGCATGGGGCACATAACTTATGTGAGTCTTATTGCCAATATTTACTTGTAGGTGGGCTTTCATCAGTGTTGTACCAGCTGTGGTTGTATATCTTGTAGCATCATTACATCTCATCAAGGAACATTGTGGTTTTCCACAGCAGAGAACATCTACACAAAGGCTTTTGAATCCAATTTCAACTGATAATGAAGCAACGCCACTGTTAGAAAACACCACAGGTAATTATTTCTGTACTTTATGTAAAGACACTTCAGCATGTGATAGGTGAAGTAACCCTAACCAGTGAAAGTAATACAAACAGGTTGTAGTAGTTCTGAAGTTTTATGTTTTTTTCTTTTCCGATTTAGATTCTGTCTTTGTGGTATTAAAGTACATAACACATCCCTTCTGTTTATTGAATTCCAAATTAAATATTCCGACACTTCCCATTTACGATCTGGAAAAGGTTGGTTCATAATTTCTATTATACACATTTCTATTAACTGTCAACTACTCTATTCTATGGTTTTGCACATTTTCATTCTTACCATGATTTCTTTATATTCTTCCCTTAATTTCTTTTTCTATAAAGAGACACCTACACTGTACATGTATGTAGGAAATTCAAATGTTTGCCTTCAAAATGCACACATTGTGCAACATTGTGTGGACATCATCTTTTTGACGTGACTACAAAACATTGTTTTTAAACCAGGTGGGATTTTCAAAGAAGTGGATGGGTAAGATACCAATGAACTCTTTGTGAAAGTACTCATTGCCGGCACCATGCCAACATACGTGCATATGGGGAGGATCTAAAACTAAGGAATCAAATGAGCAATTATTAACTTATAAATGTTACTTATTTGATTCAGTAAAAAATTGGTTGAAAATTATTTCGCTGGTGCCTTTCTCTTTTCATTGATTTGGTTTTTATTTTAGATATTTTACGAGTTCAACATGAATCACATCCTGGTGAAACACCATCAGCATTGAATAATGACCTTAGCAGTAATGAGGAGACAAATTGTGACAGAAATGAGAGCATATGTATGCTTCCACATGCACCTCCTACCAAGAAAATCAAGGCATTCCTCCTCCAAATCAAGAGATGCTTCAAACTTGTTGTGTGGTTAGCATTCAATGTAAGTTGAACAAAATAAAATAAATCAGTCTTTTGTTTAATTTTGTTTGCAGATGTAGAGCTTCAGTCATGCTTAGCCAAAGTTGCAAGTACATTCAGATGTGTCATGTCGGACAACCCGATCTTTTTAACAAAACTAAAAACATCTGCATGTACATGTATATGTCCTGCTTGTTGAGCCTACTCCTCTACCGAAACAGTTCTTGTTTTCGTTAAAGTTTTTTTTTTTTTTTTTTTTTTAGCTTTTTCGGCAAGAGCTGAAACAGCATTTATTTTCTTTAAAATTTTTTTTTTAGCTGTTTCGGCAACTGCTGGAACAGCTTTTGCTTTTCTGATTTTTAGCTGTTTCGCCAACAGCCAGAACAGCTCTTGCTTTTCTGATTTTTTTTTTAGCTGTTTCGGCAACTTTGCTGAAACAGGTATTGTTTTTCTGATTTTTTTTTTCTTTTTTTTTCTTTATCAACTCAATTCCTTCCACCAGTCGACTTTGGCAGTTTACTAAATCTGATTGACTTCAAACTTGGCAGACCATTGAACCATCATCCAAGGACGGTCCTAGAAGAAATTCACAGTGATAACTTAAGGAGTTTATTTATTATTGTTTTTTTAAGAATTACTTTTTCCCCATAGACTTTGTGCACAGATTGCACACAGTTTTCGGACTGTCCTAAATCAGGCTATGAGGGCGCTATTGCAGAATTACGGTTACACCTGCCTGGGCTTTCAATTTTCAACAGTTAACAAGTAGACTTTAACTTCGGCGCAAGATTACTATAAGAACGAAGGAGAAATCGGGTACTTTACACTCTGTTATTTTATTTGAAATATGCCTAAGAGTCCGAATATGAAGTAATATTTCATAAAAATTGTTCAGTTTAAGCGCAAATCACGTGACATGAAATTAAAGAAGCAGTTTTCCTGCACACGTGTTTCTAGCCCATTGACTTTGTACACATTTTCGAGCCACAATTTTGGTAACTTTGCAGTGTTTGATCTTTCCCAAAGTGATAGCCAACAAAGACCCTGATGCAAGATTTATTGCAAAGGGATGACGTCATGATGACTTCATCACATTATTTTAAATTCATTTTTGAAAATTTAATTTTTCCCCATAGGTTTTGTACACGTTTTTCTACTTAACACAAGTGAACAAGTAGTTTTTAACTTCGGCGCAAGATTACTATAAGAACGAACGAGAAATTGGGTCCTTTACGCCGCGTTATTTTATTTGAAATATGCCTAAGAGTCCGATTATGAAGTAATATTTCATAAAAATTGTTCAGTTTAAGTGCAAATCACGTGNNNNAACTGCCAACAAAGACCTTGATACAGAAATTATTCTAAATAAATGACATCATGATGACGTCATCAAGTGATTTACTCTTGTTTTTTCAATATTTATTTCAGCCCCTTGACTTTGTACACGTTTTCAAGCCAGCATTTGGGTTGGTTTGAGAGCTTTGATCAACTTCAAAGTTACAGCCAACAAAGACCCTTATACAAAGACACGTCCAAATTTATGACGTCTTGATGACATCATCATGTGATGTATTATTAATTTTTCAATATTAATTTCAGCCCCTTGACATTGTACTCGTTTTCGAGGCACTATTTTCGTACCTTAGTAATCGTTGATCATAAACTTACAGCAAGCACTAACTATACAACGAAGATAATTCTAAAATATTTACGGCATGATGACGTCATCACGTGATGTATTATGAAATTTGGAATACTTAAATATTCCTTTAAATGTATACAAACCCATATAAAATCAACCGTGCCCTCCACAACAGTCTGTTTGCAGCAAGTGCCAGGATAAAATGTGGTCTTGATTTCGTCATTTTTACTCTCTCATAGTTTCTTAATGCCAGGTTTTTTCATCACATTTGCTAATACTTATTTTGTTGGTAAAACAGTCCCGAAACAGCTCTGTTTGTACTTGTTTACAAACACTTCTCTCTAGTTTTCATTTACTTTTTTAAATTCTTTTTTAACTCAATTCCTTCCACCAGTCAACTTTGGCAGTTTACTAAATCTGATTGACTTCAAACTTGGCAGACCTTTGGACAATCATCCGAGGACGGTCCTGGAAGAAATTTACAGTGATAACTTGATTAGTTTATTTTTTAGTGATTTAATAATTAATTGATTAATAATTAATTTTTCCCGTGACTTTGTACACAGATTGCATGCAGTTTGCAGACTGTCCTATATCAGGCATTGAGGGTGCTATTGCAGAATTACGGTCACACCTGCCTGGGGTTTCAATTTTCAACAAACTCCAACATTGAACCATAGATGGCGTTGTTGCACGACATAGGGGTTTGTTCACATACATGTAATTGTCCAGCATAATGCGTGAGCAGTCCTCAACTTCGACCGAGAATTACTACCAGAACGNAGACTAAATTTTCCCTTCTGTTTGATTGAAAATATACCCAAGAGTCCGAATATTAAATAATATTTCATAAGTTTTTTTTCCAGTTTAGGTAAAAATCACGTGACATGAAATTAAAGGAGTAGTTTTTCTGCACACGTGTTTCTAGCCCATTGACTTTGTGCACATTTTTAAGCCACTATTTGGCCAATTTTCAGAGGTTTGATCAACATTGAAGTTACAGACAACAATATTATCGATCTTAATGAGAGTAGTCCTGAACTTCGGCTGAGAATTGCTATGAGAACCAACAAAAATCTTTTTTTTTTCATCTTTGTTTGATTACATGCATACCCAAGAGTCTCAATATCAAATAATATTTCATAATTTTCTCTCAATTTAAATGCAAATCACGTGACATCATCTTAAAGGAGTAGTTTTCAGCCCATTGACTCCTCACACATTTTCAAGGCACTATTTTGAAACCCTTGAGATTGCTATGAAAGTGATAGCCAACAAAGACCTTGATAAAAAAATTATACTAAATAAATGACGTCATGATGACTTCATCTTGTGATTTAGTATTGATTTTTCAATATTTATTTCAGCCCATTGACTTTGTACACATTTTCAAGCCACCATTTGGGCAATTTTCAGAGGTTTGATCAACATCAAAGTTACACACAGCAAAGACCCTCATGAAAGAATTCTCCTAAATTTATGACATCATGATGACGTCATCACCAAACAGAAACTTCCGAAACGGCTCAGTGGTTGTTCACAACCACGTTCCTCTAGTTTTTATTATTTCCCCATAGGGTTTGTACATGTTTTCTTCCACCAGTCGACATTGGTAGTTTTATATATCTAATTGACTTCAAATTTGACACACCTTCAGCCAATCATTCAAGGATTGTCCTAGAAGAAAATTGTCATGATGACATCATCGATATATTTATTATTGATTTTTAAATAATTGATTTTTCCCTATAGACTTTGCACACAGATTTAACGATATTAGTCACTAAATGAAGTTCGATCTTTATGTCAGTTGCATCAAGGATTGACCCAAGATACCACATGATGTAGGTATTTTGATATCAATGATGATATCATTAGTATATTTATTATTGGTTTTTGAATAATTAATATTTGCCCATTGACTTTGCACATAGATTTTTAGGTTTATTTTTCCAACTTACCAATTTTATATACGCATGGAACTTACACTGAAGGAACATCGTGAAGCATACAGGGGTCTCAGAACTAGTTCACTGTTGTAACGGTATATCATGTGACATTTCACGTGACATTAAAGGTGTAATCTTTAAAGTACTGTAACTTCTAAAGTACATGTCCGATTGTGTTGAAACTTTGTATAGAACTTTAAAGTGAAGTATTCTAGAGGAATAGTGACCTCATGTTATGATGATAATATCACGTGACAAGTCACATGTCTTTAAAGGTGCACTCTCTAATGGCCTGTATCGCTTGAAATGCATTGCAATTGCAATGCATTGATATCATGTGACACTATAGTTACCATCTTTAAAGTTCTTTATCTCCTGAAGTACACATCCAATCGTGTTGTAACTTTGCATGTAACTGGAAAACGAAGTATTTTACAGCAGTATTGATCTCATGTGATGATGACATCATGTGACAGGTCACGTGCCATTACAAGTTATCCATTGCATACACGTCTGATCAGAATGGAATGTGCAACCTTTTAAAGATATTGTTCTTTTTCATTATAGATGCATCAAGGATGGACCCAAATAGTGATATGATACAGTTAAAATGATGTCATGATGACATCGATGAATTTCTTAATGATTTTGGGTTTTTCTTTCAAATTGACTTTCTACACAGATATAAAGCCAATATAGCCAATATTTTGGCAACTCAGCTGTATTCCCTGAAACTGTAAAATTATCATATAAAATCTATTAACTAATCTTTTATAATATGATTTGACTGAAACAGCAAACTCCGAAACAGCCTCTAGGTTTTTCTCTTTTTGGGGGTGTGTGTTTTGGGGGGAGATTTTGGTTTGGGGATCTGGTTTTGGTTTTGAGTTTTGTTTTGTTTTTTTGGGGGGGTGGTGGTTTTTCTCTTGGAGGTTGTTTTAAATTTATCGTGTCATAATAGTGGAAACAGCTTTTCTAAAGAAATTTGTTGGGTTGGCTGAGGGAGGCAGGGGCAGGCTGGGTTGGGTAGGTTGTTTGTAGTTATCACATGAATTGAAAACACTCAAAATTATTTCTCAGAATTTTTCTTATTCTTTACTTCTTTGTTTCATAGTTGGCAATTGTACAGTTTTGCAGTTACAACATAAGAGTGTCTGCTGCCAAGGCGGTAAAGAAACAAAATGGGACAAAATGTCCAGAACTGTATGCATCGTTACAACTGTGCTTTCAGGTATGTTTTGACATAAATTTATGATACTGCATGTATTTCCTGTTTCCTCGTTTAGTGATGTTAATTCTTTGGCATTTCACAGCATTTTACAATAGTTTGCAACAGTAGACTCTTGTGTCAGCCATTAACTGTTTCCCATGATACAAACAGCGGCATTGATTTTAAAAGAGGCAAAATATATAAGACCTGTTTAATGAAAATAAGCTGTATATATCTGTTTCATTTCCATAGGGTAGCCTTGTCAGTAAAAAAAAAAAGTGCTATTTTCAGGGGCCCTGACTAGCCTTTGATCAGGGTGTCCGTGGCAAAATGGATAGTCAAGACCACACGATGAACTGCATACAAGCCCCAAATTAACAATGAAGTAGCCGAGGACTGTGCGCGCCATTGCAAGCGGCTCGCACAGGGCTTGGAGCTTTGTTTCCAGTGGTTTATCTGAATTATTCAATTGCTAATGTTAATGAATTATTCCTATTTGTCTGAACCAATAGTGTTTTGGGGCTTAAGTTGTCCAAGCGTGTCTGGGCTACTTACGTTCATGAAGTCTTTGCACAACGGTGCGGCCTGGTATTTAAAACTTTAGCTATATCCAGTTGAAAGATTGACCAATACATCTCGACCCTCCAAAACAGCCTTCGAGGCCAACATTTGCTGTGGTTTCAATTTGTCGACGGAATCCCTAGCTTCGGTGCTGCATGTTTGAGGCAATTCTGGAAGAGATCGTTATCCAGAGCTTACACCACTGCCGGAAAGGACACTGTATTGAATATTTGTACCATTGTAATAATGAATAATTTATTACATACACGACAGAGGCGATCGTTTTGATTGGTGGAGACTAATATGCATACGCATATATTGTATCTGCTACCGAAACGGTAGCAAATGTAAAGAAAAACATAAGCTACATGGGGCAGAACTCCAAAGGCATGCAGGGCATGTGTGCGGTCGTCATGTAGTCTTTCTTCGTGCATTGTTTGTTTTTAAACTAGTCTCCTCCAGTTCCTCGCTCTTGAGCGACTATCCATTTCGACTAAACTTTGAAATTTAATACAACATTATTTAAAACAATTTAGTAAAGGGGAAAGATGAAACAAACTGAATGAGTCGAACAACACAGCAATTCTGTATGAAACATTCCTAAAATAACAAATGTTAATGGAATTAACAGCTGATAATTAGAATAATGAAATAAATATAAAACATACAACTAAAAGAACCAGAAAAGAGTGACAATAAATGCTCAAGAACAAAACTTCAAATGAGGATGTTAAAATTGAGTTTGTTTCAAAACTTTGCTTTCATTTTCCCAAACACCCCCATCCATTTTATGGTATATTCCTTTTGAAAGTTGTCCGATAGAGTCCCTTTCAATGAACGTGATTTGCACGTGGCACGTGCACACAAACTCCTGACTAATCAAACCCGATTAAACTGTCTCAAATCCATGTGCCAGCATGTGATTTTAAGTGGGTGTTATCAAATGTTAACACACGGTTACGTGACGTGTTGCAACCAATAGGAATAGAAAAACTGTCTCAGTTATTTATGATTAAAAATTAAATCAAACAAGGTAAGATAAATGTATTCTACAAGTTAAAATTTTGTGACAATGATAACATTTAAAGATAAAAGACAATGTAAAGGTTAAATAAAATTTAACTGTAAGAGATTTGAATTCAGAGAGGGACTGTGCATATTGGTAGTCAATTTGAGGTAGTCAATTTGTTCCACCCCAAGCTCCCCAGATATTCGAATGTGCATTTGCCTGCATTAGATTTAGGTTGAGAAGTCATGGCATAATGAGCTATTTGACAGTGATTGCATGCCAAATGAATGGGTTGAAGGTTCGAAGCCAGAGTTAAGAGAGAGTTAAGAGACCCAATTTTAAATATTTTATTATTTTTAAGACAACTTGTAAAATCTTTGAGAGAAGAGTTTTATTCAGCTTTCAGGAAATGTCCAACTAAAGACAAAAAAGTGTATGGTACAAACTAATTCATCGGTCAAAGGGGCTGTCCATCATGTGCCATTTGTGCATTATGTTCCTTTGAGACAACAGACATGCTCTGATCTAAAGAAGGGTGTCTAACACCCAATGATGAAGCTTCAGCTCAATGAATGCTGTATATTCCAAAGAAAACAAAATATTCTATGATCTCACATTTAATCAGATACTGCTGAGTCATGTTATGGATTACACCAGAATTCAGCATCTGGGATATGTTCTTATCCAGTCAAGTTATTCAGTCTACATGATGTTGTGCAATGAGCTGATAAATTATAGTTATCACACACGTGTTAATGCTTGTGCATGTGTTGCCAAATTAAAAATCTTTGACAGGCAATAGTGGGCTCTAGTCTTTATAGAGAGTGCCCAACCCAGTCCTCAACAGAAGGAACGTAAGGGATTGGCCCTCCCCTCTCTAGCGACACAAAGTAATTCGAATGTAAATGACTCTAATCTCCGGACACACTGAGCCCTGCTCAAGATTATTCAACGTGACAAAAGAGTTCTGCTTAATAAGAAAAGAATAAGCCAAATTCTCAGTATGCAGTGAGCCACGAGCAAACACAAAAAAAGGAATTCTAATTGAACATCAAGAAGGATTTTCATTACACTATGCTGTTCAGCAGTAGTTAGTCAGATTTTTTTTTAGTACAAATGACAATATCTTTAAGCAGTCGAAAAACAAATCCAGCATATCAATATGAGCAATGGGAACTCAATAGCCAGAAGGCTTTTAAAAGATTTAGATTTAGATAAAGAATTGTCTAATTTTCATGTCAGATTAGAGTAAGAATTCAAATTACATTGTTAAAGTACAATTTCTTTTTTAGTTTTGTTTGGTCAAATAATCTGATATGTTATTGTGAGTTGTTTGTTTATCCTAGGCAGGTGTCTTTGCTTCACAGTCTTCACTTCCTATACATAAGATCAAACGAGTGGGTCTTCTGACGGCTGTAATGACCATTAATATGCTACTGTGGGTCATTAATGACTGGGTAAGTTACAAGTTAGACAAAATTGGTGTAGTTTATTAGAGGGGTAATGTCTTATTGGTGCATCGATACTTTGACACCAAAGTGCCACTATAGATTCAGCATTGTGTTACAAACTGAGGTACAATGTGATACCTAGACATTCCGGCTTAATTAGAAAGATACTAATACTCAAAATTAATCACTATAGTGTCTATCAAAAGTATATTTCACAGTGATTTGGGGCATAATGTTTATTGTGTCCACTGCTTCCATCCTATCCCAAACAGTCGCTATAATATGCAAGTTTCCTTTGCGACTTATTTTATTTGCTAAAAACTGATCAACTGTAGTGTGCCCTCTCTTCCCATAGTGCATTGCAGTGCTGTCACTGTGTTCGTCCTTTTTCTAAGCACCTTTGCTAACAAACATGTCATTTTGGGCATCTTTGAGTTTCCATTCTCACTTCACGTTCCTGTGTTATTAGGATCCCTTGTAACATATAAACAATAATCTTAAGTTTCTAAATGTTAACTTAGTTTTTCTAAATGTGTTATTTGTTGTTTTGTGTAGTACTTTGTTCTCTCTCATTGTGTGTGCACTAAGGTTTCCTGTCATTGATTCTACATAGCTCGTATCACCTAGCAATGTATAGGGTCAACTCGGCGACGCAGGACAGTTGCACTCTTAACACATTCAGCAGTCCCAAACTCTCCCCACAGACCGACAAAAGTCGGTCAGAGTAGGAAAGGAATGTTAAGGTCCAAGCCAATACTTGTGATCACCGCATGGTTCACTCCACCAGCACAAGTTGTGGTTAGAAAAGGAGTTAGCCAACGACCACACAAAGGGGACTGAACTATAGTGCGTGCAATCCGAATGCTCCCCTAGTGTACATGTACATGTAGCTACCAGGGTAACATAATTTATTGTGGCAGTCTGTATTCTACCAACACCTACCAAAGAATACAACACTCTACCGGCATGGCTCACAAAAGCTCATGCAGGGATGGCCCCACAAGCCAGCCACACAGACCGCCTCATGCCATGAGCCACGGCCTTCAGACACTCTTTCATTGGGGCATCCAGACGAAAATCAAACGCTATACCCTCCCAGGTCACTCCCCCATTGTCATCTGGTGCAGCCACGGTCAATACAATACAAGGCCAAACAGGCATAATGCAGACCGCAACATGGGCAGCAGAACCCACCGGTCTTCTTAATCGTCCAGGCTTCACACTCTGTACATCACTTCCTTCATCCGGCTATCATTTGATGCTTACAGAGGAGAACAACTCTAAGGCAACTACCCCTGGGGTTAATCAGAGAACTCCTTGAGCTGAACATGAGCCACATCCCGACTACTACTCCGACTCGGCCCACCCCTCGTCTGACAATTTTACAGCTGGTTCACCATACGTAAGAAACGCTAGCATTCTTCGTCTTCTTCCACCAGGACCAAGCATAAGAAGACCCAACCCCCCAACCCGACAGGACAATTCTTCTGCAGATATTGTGACAACTGTCCGGTCTCTCTCAGAAATTATCTCCTCGATAGCCAGCCGCCTCAAACTGAATCACATACCTTGGGCAACTGCCCTGGATTCTGACCCACTACCTGCGGACCCTTACATCTGCAGGCCGACTTCATCCCTCCCTCCTGGACGCATACCAGACACAAGTATAGCCAGTACCCCATCCTGAACCCCAGGTGTTATGCCGGCTGTGATGCTACCCACTCCCCAGACCAACTGCAAGCCGAGCAGAGTGTACCCTCCAAAGACAAAGATATCCCCTCCACTGCCAGCCTTACACCCTCAGAGACATGTCTCCCTCTTCTTCAGAAAGACATGATCCAGATACTGGGCCTTCCCTCCATTTCTACTGCAACTGAGGCCTCATTGCACACCTCCTTCAAGTGCCACCCTGCTAGACTGGAGGCCTTGATGTCTCTATTCCTGGAAATGGACCACTCAGGTATCAAGATGTTTAAAAGTTGGCAACCATATGCCTGGTATGGAAGGTGTTACAAAGTCACCTTCAAAAGTGAGACTCAACATAAACAGATAAGAAGGAAAAGAACACTCCAAGAATTTAGGAGCCTGAAACCTTGGCATAACGGAAGAGCTGAGTGCCACGTCCACGCCCTGGGTCAGAATCCGACGAAGACTGAAATTCCTGAGCTTTTAAGTCCGACTGGACATTCCTGTGGCCAGTCCACTATTGAGGAATGTGGAGTGATTCTTGGTGCGATTAACTGGTCAAGCAACTGGCCTTAACTTAATAATTTACATAATCTTTACGGACTATAACTATTACAAACTCATAACAAAGGGATATGTAATAATGAAGGAGACATATTGAAAGAGTGTAACATAAGGGTTCACTTTAATTGAAAATCACTAATCTCAACAGAAAATGTTACCATATCAAATCTAACAAGTTGAGTGTTAACATATTGAAC